CAGAATTTAAGACTTACATTCGCATGATATCCGATCTTGCAAATAGCCTAGAAAGATATGAGGATTGTACATTGTATCGTACGACACCTCAGAATCCTAAAAAGTGTTATGAGTTATAATTGCACAACAGAGTTGTGCAAAAACCTAAAAACAAAGTGAGGATTTATGTTGCGCTAAGCAAACTACCTCGAAGTCCTATTGGTTATGTTATTCATTCTAAAAAAAGGTTTAGCTGATGTAAACTTGTTTTGATGCTGCAAATCATCATCTTTCTTCTGCTACGTTACGGTCGTGCTGCCCACGAAGAGTTGCTTCATGCTCCATGTAGTAATATTTTCAGGTTTAATGACTTATATGTGAGCGTGCAATATTGTTATTTGGTGACTTACCACTATATACCTCCTAAGCTAGTCTATATCCAAAATGTTTTGTAGTTAATATAATGAATGCATAAACTAACTATGCTATAAGGAAGTACAATAAATAAAAACAGTATAAGGTGCGGTAAATAAAAACATTTTAAGTAAATGTAGTAAAGTGCTATAAATGTACTGTAAACTTTGAGTACTTGAGTTTCTTGTTATTGCTGCACCTGTAAATGGGATCAGCGTCGCAGATAACAACATAGTAGAGAAATTCAGCTAGCAGGACAGACATATGTTTATGTATATGATAATAAATGACGGAGTAACACATGGAAAGCCCTGAGGAAAACTGAAATCGACCCACAGAGACTTGAAACAAATCATAGGAAAAAGAAAAACAAATAAAACAAAAAGGACTAAGGGTGAGTGATTTATATGTGACATTGGAAATATCGCTAATTGTCAGGAGGATTTGAGTGTAAGATTTAAGCTAAAATTCCGGAGCATTTTGTTTAATTTTAAGTCTAAGTTATGAAGAGAATTTCATGATTTAAGGGGTAAACCAATAATTTTGGTAAAAAAATTCGTGAAATGTGTTTCAATCCTAATTAAAACAATTGAGCTTAAGTCTATCCAATGTTTAGGGGCCGTAATTGATAGCCCACTGATATTTCAATTCAATGCCCATAACTCTTGATTCATTTAAGTTCTTACTTTCTCCCTATCTTCAACAATTCTCACAATTACAATTTTATCTTTCTCATGTAAAAAAACGTGATTTGCTTGCTACCTTGTTTGCCCTTGGGTTTCAATCATCTCATCAAACTAATTATCTTTATTTTTTTTTTGATTCCCTCCCCTCTGGTTACTCTTTTTTTTAGGCATGAATCAATCCTGAAAATAATTAAATTAGAAATTCTTTTTTTTTAACTTAACCATTGCAAGAAAGAAAAAGGAAAACAAAACCAAATAAGCGGAGGCCGACTCACTTAAACAAAATCACCAAGCGAAGAGCGAAATCGGTAAAAAAATGTTTAAATTTTTTCAAAAAAAAAATTAAATCAACTCCCAAAACATTAAACAAATCAGACTCGAAACGAGCATTTGAAATTTTCAAGGCAACATGAATATAACATTTAAAACAACGTAAATCTTGATTTCTCCCAATAAAACAATTCAAATTTTCAAAAAAAAAAAGAAACTCCAGACTTTCAAATATTCGAAAATCAAAATGACTCGGAAATAATTTCAAATTTTCCAAATAAAACCTTAAAGCTTTCAAGTTTTGCAAAAAAAAAAAAACATCGAAACTTTCCTAATTTTCCAAATAAAATTCTTAAAGTTTCAAAAAGTAAAGCATTGCTACTTTCCAAACCTTCCAAATTGAATGTGAGAAGTTTCCGCTTTTGCAAATGTAAAGCACCAAAGCTATAAACCTTTTGCAAAGAGAATATACAACATCTCAGACTTTCACTTGATTATAGCACAAAAGTATTTATAAAATTTTTAAGCTTTGTAAATGTAGCATGTAAACTTTCAAATTTTTGTAAAAGTGAGGCATCACAACTTTCCAAGTTTGCCAAAATGTAAATTAGAATGTAGTCTTAATCATGCTTTTAAATTATTCAACTAAGGAACAAGTAGAGAGAAAATGAAAGCTCCCAAAGTTTTCAGATTTTGCAAATGTGTCATCTAAATGTTTCAAATTTTGCAAATGAGCCATTTAAATGTTTCAGATTTTGCAAATACACCACCCAAATGTTTCAGATTTTACAAATGAGCCATCCAATATTTTTTGTAGTCCAAAAGACATAACACGATTGCATGTATAGGTAAAATAACACGTGAGAATTGAAATTGGGTGTTAGATATGTAAATATAAAAGAATTGGGTGGTAAGCATGTAAATTTTCCTAAGATAAACCTCACAGGTTTATCTCATTATTGCTTTATCTTTTGCATCAAACTCTCTAATAAGAAAGCATGCCCATATCAAACTGTAGCCACTAAACTATAACTTGCAACTAATGCATACAAGGACACGACACTAGTAGAAGAATTGAGAATTTGTTTCTCGTAAGTATACAAGGTAAAGATTCGATGTCAAATATGCAAACAAGAAGGAATTCAATGGCCTTCAAACCCCTCCAAAAATAAAGCTTGTATTTCTTCCAAAAACCTGCAAGATGGGGAGCGAGAAAAGCTCCTGAACCTATTCCAGGCCAACAATAGTGGATATCAAGTAGCATTTCGTAGGCGTCTCTTTCATAACTTAAGAAAGGAAAAACAAACTAGTGAAAAATGGCCACCACCATACCATGCATGCTTAACATTTCATATTTAAAAGACCAAACTTTCCAAATAGAACATGAAAAATTTTAGATTTTGCAATTGTAAAACTTTGAGACTCTCCAAAAATTTCAAATAGAGCATCTAATGCCTTCAGATTTAGCAAATGGACCACACATTTAGGATTTAATGGAACGAGAGTAACACATTCATGCACAAGTACTTCGCAAAGATGCATGTTTTAAGTACCCAAAATGAAACTAATAGATTAAAGAAGAAAGATATGACATTTCTCACAAAGTTGTCTTTAATCTAACCTCCGATTCTAAAATCATGTGTTCAACTCCAACTTTTAAAATAACAAGATGTCATAAGAGGGTAAAAAAAATGTGTTGGGGGAAATAATTAGCGTCAGGAATATGAAGGTATTAAGAAAGTTGAAAAAAAAAAGAAAACTTATTAAGCCTTCATTTGAATGTACACTCAAGCCTGTATGAATCGCAACATGAACTCACAATAACTGGACTAAATTTCATTATAGAACTTCCATATAAGTAGCAAAACAAGAATCTTCAGCAACTGTAGCAAAAAGATAATACCTTGGTAGCCAAATATGTGGTTACGCAAGAATAAATCGAGCAGCCCAACAAGAAGACCGAAGAACCAAACAAAAATAACGAGCAAACAATTAAGTATATCAAGTGAGACAGAATTTTGGCAGCACCTCTTCCAATTTTCAACCACCAAAAATCCTACCCTAGGTAGGGATTTTATAGGTAAAAAAGGAAGCCACCACCACCTACACCCTAAGGTGGTTGAATCAGGCAACAGTAGCTGAATTAGGCAACAAAAGCATTTAGGAAGGGAGAGAAGCGACAACAAGCAAAAGAACCGTTGGGCACGAGGCAGGCTTGCGAGTGGGGTTGCTGCTTGTCGTGCGGGGATCGAGAAGGTGAGCCGTGAGTGGAGGAAGAGGAGGGCGAGCCATCTCGTGCGCAACAAAACAAGTAGACAATGGATCGAGCCCGGGAAGGAGAGGGCGAGCCTGTTCGCGAATGGCAGAGGAGACGCGGGAGAGCTGCGACTCTGCTGGGGCCGCGATTGTAAAGAAGTGAGGGAAGCTGCATGCGCGGTTTAGGTGAACTAGAGTTTAAAATAAGGATTTATTTTTATTTTTATTATTATGTTTTATTATATTATATTATATTATTTAATTATATTAATTAACGTGCAATTTATTTGTGTTCGGAGCCCTAGCAAAGTGGGTATCCTCTCTGGGTAAAATTGACGCTCCGGACGCGCTGATGCAGTCTGTTTCGTCATTAGAGGTCGTTCAGACTAGTTCACATTTTTCACCCTGTTTAAGTTCAATTTTAGCCCGAATTTGCACAACTTAGTGGATTTTGTGTATTTTGTGTGCGAGTGTGTTGATAAAGTCTTAAAGGGGTTTCTCTAGGGCTTGAGATCCTATTGGGAACTCTCTTTGGTTTCCCACATGCTGATCCTTAATCACTCGACCGAATGATGATGGTTTGAGATCACGCAGGCGAGGCACCACAAGAGAATCAGGAAGTGGTTCGAATTTCTAAAAGGGGTGGGTCCTAGCTCTAGTCCTCTAAGATAGTTGATAGGAAACCTTACAGCTAGATCCTAGGATCTAAGGAGAGGAGAAACGACCTCACGACCTCAAAATAAATGAGGTCAACAGGCGGTAGGGAGTTTCTGGTAGCATTCCTTAACTTTCTCCCTTCTTTACATGATTGCATAATCAAAATTTCTAGTAAATCTTGGACTTGGGCAAATTTCGTGTTGCAAGGGAGGTGTTGTGCATAAGTAAACACAAATATGGTAGTTGTTGGCATAGGATTTGAACAAAAGCCGCGCTAATGATGAGATCCAAAATTGAACTTTTACGAAGAACTAATTTATTGGTTAATTTGACCTTTATATCTTTCATTAATGGAGGTCATTATACTACTCTCGCCCTTGTGCTGGAGCAGTTTCCACTGAGTTTTTCTTAATTAATTATAAATTTGGAGTAGAGCTTTTTAACTTGAGATGCAAGTTAATATTGGTTAAAAAACATATGGATATGCATGAAACCTTTATCTCATTTGTTTTTGATTCATGAAAATATGCATGTCATGGAGAGCTACAGATATTTGTTAAAACTCTTAGTAAATTACTATTTTTTGTACTATAATCTAAATCTTAGCTAGTAATATTAGGAAAGAGATATACTTGTCTTGACTGAATTGCTGTTTCTAAATTGATCAGGAAACAAATATTTTTCATATATATATTTTTATTTTGAACTGTTCCTCACATAATTATTACTGGGAATCAGATTGGGGGATGTTTTATCATCCTTGACCTTAAAGAAAGAACCCGTACCATATGAGAATTCAAGGCTTACCAAAATGCTTGCTGACTCTATAGGTAACTTTATTTCTTCAGTGAATTCATTTCCTGTTCTCCTCATTTGAACATGTGAATTATCGTCCTAGTTGTGTTTTCTACAGTGAATTATCGTCCTAGTTGTGTTTTCTTTTACTTTTCTGATGGTGTTAAAGCAATTCACCGTTTCCTGATTTGATGGCAGTTAACATGTTATCAGCTTCATTAACATGTTCCTGTTTGTGCTAATATCAAAAGATAAATTTTATTAACATGACACCGTCGACACATTTAGACTTTTTTTTAGAGATTGTTTGGGCAGTTTACATTACTCATTTGTATTATTCAGTTGGTGATAATTATACTTTTGTATTTTTTTTGTTTAATCATTTCCGAATAATTTTTCTATAACTGTTGTATTGTACTTGTAGTTTGATCCCTTGATTATCTGTTATTTTGAAGTGCTTTTGAATAAGTAATGACCGGAAACTTGATCTTTTAGAAAATAGGATAATATTAATTTTGATTTTCTAGTGCTTGTATGCTTCAATTTAAGATATGACTTCAACTTTTTTAAAAGTTGGTTGTAGAACTATGGCGGAGAAAGCAACTACCTAGAAAGCTATGGTGAGAATTTTCAATATATATTTTTCCAACATATCATACTACAATTTTCTTATAACCATCGCACTTTAATAAGTTATGTTTGAAAAAGGAGCTTTACACTACATAAATTTCTAGAAAGTAGCAAGTACGCAGTTCCCTGAACAGGGCTGTGGTGATGGTTTGAAACACAAAACAGACAAAAAGCTGTCCCAAGCAGACTTTTAGCGTTCTCTAGGGAATAATAATCAGCTGCATTTCTTTTCTGTATGTCATTTGTTTGAATTTTTTTTAAAGTACGAAACAAATTCAACAGCAATTCAATTATAGTGTATTCCTTGTTCTTGTTTTTAAAATTTTTTCTTCCGGATGAACTATATTCATTCTTGTTTATTTTTTTCATATATATCTTTTTATAATTACCATCGGATGCCTTTGTCCTGCTGCTTTTTTTCCTCTGCAGGGGGTTGCTCAAAAACCTTGTTAATCACTCATATTTGTCCTAGTTCTTCAAACCTGGCAGAAACACTGCATGCCCTTAACTTTTCTGCAAGGGCAAGAAACGCAGAGCTAAGTCTTGGAAATCGAGATACAATCAAGAAATGGAAAGATGCGGTGAATATGTTGTTTCTTTCTTATAATTGGTTTTACCGTGTTTCTTTATTTTTTTTAAAAAAATTTGAAGCTTCTTTTAAAAAAGAATTTAAAGCTTCTTTTAATGAAATACTTTTCAAGTTTACTGTTAAATCTCTGTTGACTTTAGGCAAATGACTCACGCAAGGAGATATACGAGAAAGAAAAGGAGGTTCAGCTCCTAAAACAGGAAATTTTTGGACTAAAGTCCGCTCTTAAAGATTCCAATGATCAGTGCATTTTACTATTTAATGAAGTTCAGAAAGCCTGGAAGGTTTCATTCACGTTGCAAGCTGATGTCAAGGTTCTAGGTCCTTTTACTCATTCATTTCAGTTTTCTTCATTTCATCAATACCTGTACCTTATTTTTATATGCTTTCAAGTTAATTATTTGTGAGGAGTAACTCTTTAATGACACTAAACCTTTTGTGCCGACCTTAAGCAGATGGGTTTATTTTTCTCCAGTTTTAAAGTCGGTACTTTAAGTGCATGAATCCGTTTCAGTACTGCTATTATGAAGCATTGTTGGAGTATCCTTTAGTGTGATATTTATGCATAATTTGAACTTAAATCTGTAGTGATGTTGTATTTCTATGTGTTTTTCTTGCACACTGTTTATGAACTCCTGTCCTTTACAGATGGCTGTGGTTTTAATAGGCATGGCAAAAAAGGTCACCAGGCCAAGCTCAAGTCAGCCTAAAATTTATACAGCCTTTTTATAATTTCAACTTCCTTAAATGTGCAGAATTGGACCTAAACATGATCACAACACGTGTTGAGTGAGTCGAAGTGAGAAAGACCTGAGGGATAACACCAAATCTAACCTGCTGAATGGATGACCTTGATGGGAAAGTATGAGGGGTGGAGAGAGAGCGAGCTAAAGGCAGGGAGTGACTTAGGAGCTGGGGTTTCCTAGGACACGGAACGACGACGGGTTCAAGATATGCGGGAGCTAAGGCTTCTGGGACGCTGGAAGTTCCTAGATGTGCATTGCGGGATTCCAGGCCGTCCGAATATATATACATAGTGGGCTTTTGAACACCCTGTCGAGGGTTTCTCCTTGGCAGCAAGTTTCCTTCATTTTCTTCTTCCTTTTCTAGTTTTTACCTATTTCCTTATTTTTTAATTAAGTTATACTCTATGAAGGAGCTCTTTTATATTTGTATTTTGTTGTTTTGAGCCAACTAGCATAGTTTTATGTATTTTGAGAGTTTAATATCTGATTTTCTGCTCTCCGAAATGTTGTATCATTTTCTTAGTGCAAGTGATGTGTCTATAGCTTGCTCGGAAATAAATAGTGGAACTTCTCACCATTTCCCCGTTCAATCGCTTTTTTCAGTTTAGACTGCCGCCTAACACGCAAATTTCACCGCTTTTTTCCCTTCAAAATATCTCTGACTGCCCCTGCCCTCCTTTTGTTAACATTCCACAATTATGTTCCCGCAAGCTCCGCTTCGTAAACACCTTCTAGGCTCTTGATAATGGTATCATTTGGTTTCAGTGCTCACAAATCTTAATTTTTTTAGGGATTTGTCCTTCCTACACCTAAACAAAGAATCCCTACAACCTATCCTAGTACTCCGCCAAATTTTCTTCCACATTATCCACCTAGCTCCCCTAAACCATAATTTTTATTTTCATCAAAATTTTCTTTACAAGAGCAAGACATTATGTTGCTAAGGGGAAACCCTCAACGAAGTGTTTAGGAGCCCACTATGGAAGACATGCAAATAAAATTCTCCAATTGCAACAGACAATCTGGTAAGGTCTCCCGTAGCCGTAATTATGACTCATTAGATCGGGGAGAGGAAGTGAATTTCTTCCATCTGGAAGTTTCCAACGATGAAGAACCAATATCCCGACGATTGTCATGAATGTTAGAGGAGAAACCTGGAATTTTGGAGCAGATAAATTTATTAGATTTTGACAGTCGCATTCAGATGAATTCATCGAGTGACTCCGTATGGTGGAACTAGTTTTTAAATTCAAGGGCGTGTTAGATCGGCATCTACGACACGTTTTTCCTCGTGCTCCACTGAGTCGACATCGAGCTTACCAAATAACTTGAAAACTTGTGCTAGGTGCAAGAATAAAATGACAATTTAGTCATTTGTTAGTTATTATTGTGGGGTATTAATATGCCTTAATATGTATCTTGTTGTGTTGAATCTTAGGGTTACGGTGTGGGAGAGATTGCTTACCTCTCGGATTATAGGCTTATCTTTTTTTGTATTCGGGACTCATTTTGATTTGGTAACAACAAAATAAATTTAATTTTTTGTCCTAATTTATGATGAAACTTGTTTCATTTTTATCAAATTGCCATCAAAGCATTCGAGGGTACTGCTCTACTGGAAAATTTTCTCGCTCGCATTCAAGGGTGTTGTATAATTTTGTAAACGTCGAGGCACCCTCACCTTTTGAGCGACATTTTCGTTTTTGTTGGGTTGCGTTGCCTTTGACCAAACCTTCTAATACAGTCGCGATACGAGATAACTGGGAAGCTACATGATAGCAGTGTCTCCTTTGTGACCGATCCTCATGATACAATTGCTATTCGAGCTAGTTGGGATGCCAATGTCGGGATCTTGGTGTATAAGAGTTCAACATTTGTAATAAAAAATCGTCCTGGGCGTAATCACAACGAAGACAGTATATAGTCTGGAGGAGAAATTAGAGGGATGGGTAAGCCAAATCAGATCTAGAATGAAAGAGGGAGTGGTTCTCGTGCATATAGGGGAGATTCATGACCCTGAAAGAATTGATGAAGGTCGCGGGGTTTCACACGTACGTGCTGCCACTTGCTGTTTGTTAGAGCAACAACTTCTTAAGCGGATGCGAGCAACAACAATCAAAAGGATTCACACATCAGGGCAGCATTGTCGTTTTAGGCGGGTCTGAAGGCGCGTGATTAAGCGAAGGTATCGAAATTGAATTTGAGCAAAAACACTTGGAAGGAAAGCACAACATCCAACGATTGGAACAAGTGAAAACAGACGAAACAGGACGAGATGCGATGCAGGGTTGGTCAAAATCGATTCGAAGGATTTTGACCTGGAATGTGAAATAACGGTTGGTGGATACCCAATCGAGGACTTTACCCAATCGTGCTAATGCCTTTTTTTGCGATAGCCTTCCTGACGTAAGGCGATTCAGGAGCCTATGGAGAGGGGCAAACTGATTATGGTGCGAGCCAGATTTATGGAAGAAGGGAAATCAACCCTACCCTCACTTCATGGTTGAAACGATTTTTGGTCAAGGAAATCGGTAAGATATTCTCGCATAAGGAAGCTAAAGATCTCGATCTTTGAATGAGAGGATGCCTATGGTTGGAGAGATATTTTGTTGTTAATGGGTTGACGGAGGAAGAAAAAATTATGGAGGTGACTCTTTGTGTGGAAGGGAAGGCTTTAGCGTGGTATCAATGGAGAGAACAACGCTACACATTCGAAACTTGAGAATATTTGAAGGAATGATTTATGAAGCATTTTAGAACCATGGAGAAAGTGGACTTGCACGGGCAATTTTTTTGCATTAGGAGGGGTCCTTCATGGATTATACGGAGAAATTTGAAATTGATATCAAAAGATGTGTTGGAAAAAAATTCATGAAAGGGTTGGGGCCTGAAATTGCGCTTCGTCTAATGAGATTGTTAGCTTTAGGGGAAACTATGGAATTTGCGCTGTTAGTTGAAGATAAAAATGCAATGGAACTGGCAAATAGAAGCAACACAAGTGAAGTGCCATGTCGAAATGCTACAATCACGATGATATAAAAACTCAAACAGTGAGATTCTAGAGGGAGGCCCCACAGGGCAGGAATAATGGGCCACGATCGAGGGCAATTTTAAAACTCCTTACAAAGATGGGGATTCAGGAGAAGCAAACCAATGTGTTATGTTTTTGTTGTGACGAGAAGTTTGCCAGACACTGCTACAATGATCAAATCTTATAAATTCTCATAATGTGCGACGAGGAAACATGTGATTAAGAAACATAGGAGGGAAACATAGGCGGTTGTGGTGGAGGAAGAACACCCCCACTTAGATGTGACAAAAGTCTCATTGAACTCGATGATGGGGCTTACAATGAACTGTGCTATGAAACTTTGGGTAGAATGAGAGCAGGACGTAGTGATGTTGGTAAATAGTGGGGCCACTTACAATTTCATTTTTACTCCATGAATGAGCAATTGGGGCTTAAGGCGGTTGACGCGAGAAGTTTTGGAGTCATGATGAGAATTGAACAAGTGAAGAAGAGCATTGGAGTTTATAAAGTAGTGATTTAAACACTGCAATGTATTCAAGTACTTGAGGATTTTCTTCCCTTAGAGTTTGAGAACATTGACGTGATATTGGGTATGATAGTTGCAATCCATAGGGGAGATTGATATGAATTGGAAACTCATGATAATGGAGATTTTGGAGGTAGACAAGTTGGTAGTGTTTTGTGGTAACCCTCGTTAGTGCAAGACCTTGGTTACACTCAAGACCATGGTTAGGGCAGTACATGACATAGGGTTGGGATTCTTGGTTGAATTGCATAGCATTGAGAAGACACATGATACAAAGTTGACGGAGGTTCTGACGTCGATCTAACAACTCCTACAATAATTTATAGAAGTTTCCAGTTGTCATGTGGATTGTCATCTCAGAGGGAACACAAACATGTAATAACCTTCAGATCGAGGGTCTCTCATCAATATGTGCCCATACCACTACCCCCAAGTACAAAAGGATGAGATCAAGAGATTGATCCAAGATGTCAGGATCATACAGTTTAGTGTGAGCCTATTATCTAGCCCAGTCTTGTTAGTGAATGAGGATGAGAGTTGGCGTTTCTGTGTGGATTATCAGATAGTGAATAAGGAAACATTAATTGACACATTTTTGATCTTGGTGATCGATGAGCTACTGGACGCATTCTGTGGGGTTGCAATATTCTCCAAGATTAACTTGATAGATACCATCATATTTGGATGCGGCTGACGAATGTGCACAGACTTGCATTTCAAACTCATGAGAGTTATTATAATTTTCTGATTATGCCATTCAGGCTCACCGACACAACGACTACATTTTAATTACAGTTGAACAAGGTTTTTCGACCTTTACTCAGAAAGTTTTTGTTGTTCTTTGATGATATCCTTATGTACAACCATTCTTTGGAAGACAATATTGATCATTTGAAAATGCCGACGTACTCAGTGAGCACCATCTTTATGCTTACTTAAAGAGGTATTCGTTTGCCTAGTATAAGGTAGAGTACTTAGGGCATGTAGTGTCGGCTGCTGGGGTGTTGGCAAATCCATTGAAGGTGGAAACTATTTTGGATTGGCTACTATCTAAGACCTTGAAGAGGTTGAGAGGATTTTGGGGGTTACAAGGCATTGCCAGAAGTTCGTGAAGGGTTACAGTTCGATTACGTGATTATTGACAATACAATTAAAAAATGGTAACTTTCAATGGGGCATCCAATAGCACATGCTTTTAAGAACTTAAAGAATGCCATGAAGAGTATACCAGTGCTGGTGTTAACAAATTTAAACCAACAATTCGTTGTAGAGATGGATGCTCCAGTCTATGGGTTAGGTGTAATTCTCATACGGTGTCAACATTCCATTGTTTATTTTAGTCAAGCGCTGACAGTGAGAGCCGGACTCAAGTCAGTTTATGAACCAGAGCTTATGACAATTGTGCTCATCATTCAGAAATGGTGACCTTATTTGTTGGGCAGTGTTTTACAGCACACATGTATCAGTGTGGCCTTAAATTTCAGTTAGAACAACGCATGGTGGTTGGGGAACATCAAAGCTAAGCTACTGGGATATGATTTTGAATTCAATATCACCCGAGATTAAAGAATATGGCTGTTGACGCCTCGTCACGATGGTTGGAAGAATCTAATGGTTGGCATTGTCAGTTTCTTTGGTTTTAGATTAGGAGGTCCAAAGTCAATGAAGTGAGGTAGATGAGGAATTGAGCAAGATTTAGTCAGATGTAGTGAATGGCGACAATAGCTATCTCGGTTTTTCTCTGAATGACCAACATTTACTTTACCAAGGCTACTATATATTGCCACAAAATTCAAGATACATGCCAAAGTTTTCACATGAATTTCATGACAATGTTGTCGAGGGGCACTTTGGCTTGCTTAAAATATACTAGAGAATCACATCATAATTGTTTTGGGTGGGAATGATAAAGCATGCGAAGGATATGGTCTCAAAGTCTAGCATTATTGGAGAAGTGCGAGAGGAGGTGATGTTGGTTTTCAGTGTAGGTTTACCTTGGTTAGAAGTATTTATAGTCATCTTGGTGGTGGTGGATCGATTGAGAAATTACGCTCACTTTTAACCCCTACACATGCCTGTACTGCCTTTTTTGTCGCCGTTAGTTTTATATAGGAGCTTGTCCGTTTGCATGAGATTCAAGATCGATTGTGTCAGATTGAGACAATGTCTTCTTGAGTCATTTTTGGAGGGAGCTGTTTAAAATGCAAGAGACCTTATTGAAAAAAAGCACAACATACCACCCACAGATTGACGAACAAACCAAAGTGGTTAATCTGAGCATGCATACCTATTTGCTTTGCTTTGTATCTGATGCACCCAAGCAGTGGACTAAATGGCTAACCTGGGCAGAGTAAAGCGAACGTTGACGAAGCTTGGCTTGCTACTGGCCGTGTAGGGGTGGGAGTGTTTTCTCAGAATGAGTCGGGTAAGTGCTTTATTGCGACCGAGAGAAATTTACTTGATTGGGATAGCTTAAGCGTTGAATTCGAAGCGGTTCGATTTTTTGGTGCATTGGTTGAACCGTGGATTAAGGAGATGAATGACGTGATTATTGAGGGGGACAACATCAATGTCATTGATACTTTACAACAAACGATGGGGAGATCTTTTTGGGGACCCCCTTGCGATCTCAACTTTGATGCGACCTTTTTAACTGGATTTCGGTAGGTTATATTCTCACAGATAGTTAGAGTTATAAATATGATAGCTCATACTTGTGCGAAATTAGCTTTAGATGATAATTTTGTTATTAAAAATATAGATGATAGTTGTCCTTTGTTTGTTTTTGTTAAAAGGGGTTACTACTCAGTAGCCTCTTTCTTTTTGCTTTTTTAGTGGTTTTTGCCACGGGTTGTATTTTACTTATTTTCTTTTAATGCAAATTGCAAACCGTTCAAGGGCAGAGTGTTAATACAATCCATCTTATCATATAATTTCTCATATCATTCCTTATAAAATCTTTTATAACTTTGATACACCTCATTTGGTGCATCATGGACACAGTACTATGCCAGTGTCTCCAGTGGACCAGTACTTAGAAAAGAGGGATAAGATGTTGGCGGAATGGATGAGACATTTATTAAAAGCGCAACAAAAGTAAGCCAACGAACATCGAAGGGATGTACAATTTGCCATAGGAGATAGGATGCATCTAAAACTTCGGTCCTATCATCAGAAGACATTGGCCAGACGCAGGAATAAGCTCTCCACACACTATTTTGGTCCTTATGAGATCATTAAGCAATTGGGCGATGGCTTATCGTTTACAATTGCCACCTTCGTCGAGACTCCATCCAGTGTTCCATGTATCACAGTTAAGACATGCTTATAGTGATAATGCGTATTCTTCTTCACTTCCTCCTACTTTGACGAAGGATATAAAAGTTCTCTTGGACCTTTGAGTTAAAAGGGGTGCTAAAAAAATAGACAGGCGGGAAAGGAGTGCTTATTAAATGAAAATGATTGCCAGATTATGACGACACATGGGAGCGATACAACTTGATCCTCTGTTTCACCTTGACGACAATGTGACTTTTTGGGATGTGAGTAATGTTAGATTAGTGTCTATGGCACCATTGGCCTCGTGCTCTACTGAGTCGATATCGAGCCCAACAAATAATTTAAAGACTTATGCTAGGTGTAATACTAAAAGGGCAGTTTAGTCATTTGCTAGGTTATTAATGTGGGGAATAAATATGACTTGATACGTTTAAGATTATGTTATGTTATTGTTGTCTTGAATCTTAAGGTTAGAATTTGAGATAGATTGACTATCTCTCAAATTGTGGGTTTATCTTTTATGTATTTGGGTTTATATCGTTTTGATTTGGTACCTGCAGAATAAAATTTATTATTTCTACTCTAATTTTTTCTGAAACTTATGGCATTCCTATCAGGACATTCCACTTGGTAAAATTGACATCCATCAAGCTCAAGAAGAATGCTTCATTGTGTTGCAAGCATTTGAAGGGCATAGCCAGCTTAAGTGAAAAAAATAAAATCACTTTTTGGTTCAAGTTGAAAAAAGTGATGCTATGCAAGTACCTACCAACACATAATAGACATGGTTTGTTCTTGAGAGTTCATCACTTACAACAACAAGGTCTCCTAGTAGAGTAGTACACCACTTTGTTTGAGCAATTTATGTTGAAGTGTAAGTTAATAGAGAGCCCGTGGAGAACATCGTAGCTCGACATCTGAGAGGATTGAGACTGGTCATATACAACGTAGTACAACTATAGTTTTATTGGATGTAATAGGATGTCCAGACCCTAGCCCTGAAGGTGGACAAACAATACATTAGTATCAGACTCGCACCACCCTTCAAACAGAGTTCAGCCATCGGATCAGACAACAAAAGTACACCCAATGGAACTCTCAAGCCGAATTAGTAGAGAAACCCATCCAGAGTAAAGAAAAGACGGAGACCACAAATACTCTTAAATCTATCATAGTCAGAAAGTGCTTCAAGTTCTGCGGTCTTGGTCAAATTGCATCAGATTGTCCAAACAGGAGTTAATAGGAGCAGGCACAAAAGCCCCTAAATCAAAAAGAGCGACAGAAGCATAGTCCTTGCACTTATGGTTGCCTGAAGAGTTGTCTCTCAGGCCAAATAATATCAAGAGTGGAGGCTATTCAAGGTAATTTTGTACTTGCTGCAAGTGACTTACGAGGCATGCTGTTTAATTACAAGAGAGCATAATTGTTATTCAGTAGATAAAAAAGATATTTGATACTACGAATAAAGAAACTGAAGCAAGTTTTTAATATATATGTCTGAATACAATTATTCAAAAAATATATAATTTATTTGTCCCACATAAATCCTATTTTTAACAATGCGGAATCCATTATTTGTTCATCAGATCAGCAACAATGTCAATAAGTGAGCTTGCAAATCTGACTCTGCAGGTCATCTCTATTTATCAAAACATATTCAATTAGAATTAAGTTCATCATCTCTTTCATTAATCTTCAATTACCCTTCTCCAACATGTGTATTTAATCAATGTCTTCTCATACTCATATGAACACATATTTTGATGTCTTTTTGTTGGTGTGTTTATCCTTTGTATCTTTAATCTTCTTTCTGAATTTGGTCCTTTATTGTATCTTGATACCTTCTGACTTTTTGTTTTTACGAACATTGAAATCTGAGATGCTCAAACTTGCCTTTTGTTGTATGGCTTGAATTACTTTTTTTGCCAACTCTGGTTATTTCTCATATTTTCTTCACTTTTCTAACTGCAGTCTGAAAACACTGTTCTTGCTGATAAGCTCAAAATTGAGAAAGAACAAAGCTCTCAACTGAGGAATCAAGTTGCTAGTCTTTTACAAGTAGATCATGAGCAGAAAGTGCAGATACACCAACAAAGTTTGACCATACAAAATCTGCAGGTTGGTCTTCTGTCCTTGTATTTAATGTGTTAAATTCATTTATCTCTTTTGTTGAATGGGTTTTCTTAAAGCAGTTTTTATAACTAGAAATCGATTTGAGTACATAAGGACAATTCCCAAGATTATTTTAGAGGAATATATATATATTATTTATTTATTTATATTTATATAAGACAAGTGCCGCCAATCGTGGCCTGTTGGTAGAGCAGCCTCTTTAAAGGTAAGTCCCCTCAAGCCACGGGTTCGAATCCCCCTCTGGTCAGTATATCGGTTGTGAGGGCCATCCTTGAATATTTAGGCACATGAGGGTGGCTGGGGGCTCGTATAATAGCCTCCGACCATTCTTTTTTATTTAAAATAATAATAAATAAATATAAGACAATATAGATATAACTTTTCTAGGAAAGAAATCCTTTGTAATATGAAATTTATTGGAAGACTCATTTGATTTGTTTTGCTTGAAGTCTAGTGAAAATATGTCAGTGACAAATTTTTTTTTTTTTTAATTCTTATCTTGCCAGTTGAAGTCTTCTGTTCACTAGAGTGCCTGTACTCATTGTGCTCTCATCTGAATCATAAGTTTTTTGAACCTTTTGGTCATCATCTATTCACAAATTGGAAGGAGGTGATGTGTTGTAGTAATAGTGGATCAAGATTAATGGTGATATTTGTTGGTGTTCCTGTGACCACTATCCTAGAGTTAATAGGAGCAGGCATAAGCGCCCCTAAATCCAAAAAAAAATAAAATAAAATAAAATTGGTTCCAAATTCAAATCGTAGACCTGATCTATTATAGATTTCCTCATATTTTGATGGGCCTTGAAACATTCAGAATAATTATGCTAAAATGTTTTATAAAATATACAATATACTATGATGCTTTAATTTCAACTAACTGCTAGCATCCACAAAACAATGAGCCAATCCATAGTTCCTTTTTTTAACGGAGAAGAATGCCTATTTTAATCATAATTCAAGCCGTAGAAGGACTTCAAATACGAGTATTAGCTTCGCCTGTTTACAAAAGTTTTAAAAATATAGATATCGGGGAACATAAAGCAACTTTGTTGAAGTAACATAAATGACATCGAGCAAATATAATCCAATTTGGAGTAATAGGTGGTTCCTTATGAAAGTCAAATTGGATGGGACCATTTTAGAATATGCATAAAAAAATTATCTTTATAATTGGACCGTTGAGAGAAAGTTCAGTGTAGTCAGTTTCCAAAGAAAGTTTAATACTAACTTGAAAAGTTTCAATTGGACATTAATTTATTGTTAATCTATAGTTTGAGATGACCCAACAAAAATTTGTAAAATTGGCATCAAAGAGAGACCTAACAAACATTGATATCTCCTTTTTAGTGAAGGTGGGAGTAAGTTTGCTTTGTTATGGAGATGTATGTAGAAGGAATCAAGGGGATGACTTGTGCTCTAGAGTTGTAGGTTCCAAAGAATGCAAAGTAGGAGGAGTTCTGTGAAGCTATGTACTACTAGAATAGGAGGTGGCGATCTAATTGGATTCATCCAAAACCTTTGAAACATCCAAAGTGGGAGAAAGATGTGGGATCTGATGAAAATTTATTGGTAAAGATGGAGGATCGAAAATGGAAGCTGCATTAACTATTGTGGCATTATCTTGAGCCAAATTGAGCAAATGAGCATTATGATGAAGGCAAGGGGAAAAACACAAATTGACCTTAAGGTGAGGAAACAATAAAAGGTGTCATGTCTGCACTAGATGCAATGGGATAAAAATTGAAAGCTCTACCCAAGCGTGAGCGCTAGTCAAAATAATTGTTGACAATGTGATGCGCTACATTAAAGATTGGGATAACAAGTGTAGCATGCATGGATTAAGTTGACATTAAGATTAAAGCCAAGCTAAGATGTTGCGAGTGCTCGCATCCATTTGAGCTTGCAGAGCACAATAGAGACAATGTGATGCGCAACATTAAAGATTGGGATAACAAGTGTAGCATGCATGGATTAAGTTGACATTAAGATTAAAGCCAAGCTAAGATGGTGCGAGTGCTCACATCCATTTGAGCTTGCAGAGCACAATAGAGGTGAGCAAGTAGCGAGCACTTAGGATTGAGCAAGTGCATGAACAAGCTTGGAAAAGGTGTAGTTTTCCTTAGCGTTACTAAGTGCAGATACGCGAACAAAAAACACATACGATTGCAAGGTCATTTTAATGATTAATTTTCATAATAATTCTAACCCACATGGATGGATTTGGGGGACGACTTGTACTCCTTCTAACTCACCTGTAAATTTATAATATGTTTTATATAATATTGTTTGTGTATATTTGTCATGCCCTATTTTTTATTATTTGATATTTCTGACAAAAAGCATTGAGATGTTAAAAAAAAAAAGATCTTTTTTGAGCGGTCATGAATATCAATACCTTTGGGATTGAAAGCAACAAAAATCAAATTAGGAGTTATTTACACTCAAATTTTATTGAATTTATAATCAAACATAATGTCTAGGTGAGACGAACTAGATATCATCAAAAGTGATTCGATTTGTGTCCAAGTGACTTTAGATCATGCACTTAAAGCATAATAAGAAGCTTTTGGACATACTTTGTAGTGCCAAATGATCTCAAAATTTGGAGAACTTATGATTAAATCAAACGTCTTGACAAGACAAATCCAACGAGCCCAAAATAACTCAAGTTTGACATCGTTAAGACATTCAAATACTAAAAAAAAATTCATGCAATCAATGGGATCACGTTGGGCCGTCATTTAGAGTGGTTCAAATTCATGTATTTTTTTTTAAAAAGTGCAAATCTTAAAATTCATAAATAGACCTCCATTCTTTCATGAAGAGGGAGGAGTTGTCTGACCGCCTCACCGTAGCTAGACTGTCGTTGCTCAACCTCCCATGGTCGTCTCAGCTGGATTGCTGTCTCCATTTTAGTACCACAATAGCCAATGGACTGCCGTTGTCATCATTGAACCACCTTAATCAATCGTTGCCACCGTTAGGCTGTCATTTCTGGATTCCTACCATTTCTGGACCGCAGTTGCTATTGGATTGCTGCCGAATTGTTATCGATGTAGAAGTACCATTGCTACTGCCAGACTACCGTCCTCTGTTTGTTGCATTTGCCGATTCCAAATTTATCGCAAGATCGTCGCATTTCGATAGTTGTAACTGTCGGACCATTTTCGTCAGGTCGTTGTCGCTGCTATACTTGTTTCTCGACTACTATCACTGCTGAACTGAACGTTGTTGCCCAACAATTGTCATTAGACCCCTAACCAAATCATTCTTCCTCAATATTTGTTATCGTCAAACCAAAATCACCTTTTTATTGCCGCTGCCATCGAACCACTGCCCCAAATCATCTTTGTCGTAATTTCTTTATCATCGTATCTCGTCCACTGTAATTGCTGAACCACACTTGCTGCTAGACAGCTACAGCCTCTTCCAGACGGTTGTCTCCCAATTGTTGCCTCCGCCCCTTGTTTGCCAGTATCTCATTTGCACATTGTTGCTTGGTCATCACCATCGTTGCCACCACTGGAACATTTGTTTATGGCCGTTTCTTTCACTGCATCATTGTGGTCCAGTTGCCATCACTGACACTTAGCCGCCATAACTGCTGCCCGATCACAATTGTTGTTGTTGGAGCACCGCTAACGATGTTTCTCTCAAATCTCTGTAATTCGATCTGCACAGTTGGTCTTCTGCCATGATAGCTGGGTCGTTACTCCATGTTCTAACATATTCAAGCTGATAATCCCATTCATGTAACATTGCCTTCTCTGGAAGAAACAGACCAACTCTTAACTTATATATTTTATAGTGGAATCATTTCAACTGAGTTACCCGCTTTAATATTTCCCCTTTCAGGTTTTCCATATAAAATAGTTGATCCTCTTGCTGCACGTCATTGTTCATGGATAATTGGCATGCCGTTTTGGTGTGCTGTGCGTCATGGCTCATCATTTTAAAGAAGAATGAAGTCCTTTTATGCCATAAAGTGCCACTCTTGTTTTGGCCATCGCTGGACAGCTTTCATTGCAAGTTTAGCACCTAAAATACTTTGTACTTCTTCCCTGTAGAAGATTAGTCCAGTGTTAGACAATAAGCACACCATCCAACATTGATAAGATAAGAATGAGCCTTGGTGATTGACAGCTTGTACCATGTCAGTTTTTTTGAGTATCTAGTGCACAAATTTAATACCTGTTTGTGTTCTCTTCATTGTGTGATGGAGCCACGTCACATTGTAATAAAGTTAGCAAATAATAAAAGCCCCAGTGCAGATTTTTTTCTGGCTTTTGGGCTTCATTTAGTTTTGGATGGATTGACATGCCTTTCACTAGAGTTATCAATTTCAGGGTTGGCTTTGGATGATTTGGTAGGAATGTCATCATATGCATATAGAGCCTTGTTCATTTGAATTATTCTAGCTGTTTTTATTGTTAGACATAAATATAATGCTTAGCTAATAATGCTTTCAGTCCTATTACACTATCTTGCACCATGTTGAAATGATTAGAAGGTTTATACAATAACTTGTTTTTATATATGAATACTAAAACAGTTTGTTAACGGTAGTCATGATTTCTTATTTGAAAATCATGCATTTTTCTGCCCATTTGCAGTTTTGTTGTGTTTTATAATGTTATAAGCTTTCTATGTGATATCATTGTATAGATCACCGAGTTTTTTTTTCTTTTCCTTGTTATTTATTTAGGCTAAAATTAAGGGCATTGAGTTACAACTCGGGGATGCCCTTGGTTCAAGTGATTTGAGATCAGAGAATAGTTCTGCTGGTGCTTTTTCCTCTCCAAACGGGGTTCAGGACAGCGTTAATTCAGCAAGTATTACCAAAAAACTTGAAGAAGAACTCTCTAAGCGTGATGCACTTATTGAGGTTTGTTGTGCCACCTTTTGATTAAACTGGCACTTGCATAATTTAAATTTATAAAGATCAACTTTTATTGGCAGCAGAAAATAGTCATTTCACCAATTTGGTTTTAGCTGAATTTTGCTGATGACTTAATTGAATATTTAGGTGACTTATATGGCTTATATTGTTACATCGGTGATATTACTCTTAAAATAATCCACTATAGTCTAGTGCCAGCTCATACTGAAAGGCTTGAAGTCATTCTCAACTTTATTATTTTATCTAATTGTTGGCAGTTAAAGACAAACATATTGACTTGAATACTTGAAAACGTAAGACTTTGAAAAAATCATTACATTTTACTATGCTATTATAAATAAATTGGAGGCTAAATTAACAGTTTAGAATTATGTTGTTGTAGATTTGATTAGTCAAGTTTAGGTGTCCGTTCCATTACGTGGCCTGGTACCCATCCCCATAAATTTGGCTACTTGGAAAGATTACTGACAGACTCAGGAGATGCTGCAATATGACCGTGCCACATGCATCTGTTGGCGATGATTATCAGATTCTTTACACTAAGTTTTGAACATTACATTTTGGAGCGAAGGGCCTCATTACACTGTCTATGAGAATTTCCAGTATTTAGCTCTTCTTGGTTGTTATGGTGGTCACATGATGGAAAAATATGTCTATGCTGGTGTGGTTGAGTGTGGAGGTGTAAAAGACATGATTATTTGCGTTATTCTAGTTGGTGGTAATGTATTTTTTAGTACTGATTTTAAAATTTTCCACCTCGTTAGGTGAAATGGAGACTAGAAGTGCAAGCTAATATTTGTTTTTCAGATTTGAAAATTACTAACGTTTTCTAGGCCTTCTGCCTCGATTGAAAGCGAAGCATATGGTTCCTCTTTGCGTTATTTGCTCACTGAATGCTTCAGCCTTTTTTAAACAACAATAGTTGTCTTCCATCAAACTGATACAAACAACTTTTGATTCCATTGTACTCTCAAATATTTGCATCTTTAAGACACAATGTGATCTTGCAAAACCATGAAGAATGTTGCAATTATTCATGCCTGTACATTCTCTTTGTTTACATATCATTTAGTGACACATTTATTTCTTTTAATATTTACGAGTTATTGGAGAAGAAATGCATGAACTCCATGTATGTTTATAAATAACTGTTGATGAAACTTTGTTTACATTCATCTTAAGCATCTATGCTGATGTATGGCATGCAAATTGCTGAATCATATAGATCCATGTTATAGAAGTTAATTGATCTCTTATTTTATTTCTGCTAAGCATGCAAATTGCTGAATCATATAGATCCATTTTATAGAAGTTAATTGATCTCTTATTTTATTTCTGCTTAGCTGTTTATTTTTTTTAATTTTTTTTTTGTGTGTGTGAAAAAGTTGCTGACCTTAGCTCTCTCTTCCACACCGACACCTTTAATTTTCCTAATTTTGTAAGTTTTCTTTTATTTTTTTCTTCAGAAGTTACATCAGGAGAATGAGAAATTGTTCGATAGATTATCAGAGAAGTCATCCTTTGGAGGATCTCCACAGGTTTTGTATGAAAGATTGTAGTTGAAAACCTCCTTTAAAACTCTTTTTTTAATTACCCTATTTTTTTTACTATATATTGTCAAAAGCCATTCTATTATGTATTTTATCAGCATATTATCGTCTTATTAAAAATGGTTAAGATACACAGGCTGCTACTATTTATTCATTTACGAAGCTTTTTAACTTCCTATTTTTTTCCTGGTGGCGTTCTGAAGTTTTGAAATTCATCTTAATGCAGCAATGAATGGATTTCATTGAAATTCTACATGGATGCAGGAGCATGTTCTTGTACTTTAAAAAGTGGTGGTTTAAATTATTTTGAAAACATCCAATGTGAAAGACTGGGTCCCACACGTATACATGTGTATGTTAGTTGGCCGCTTAATAAAGAAAAACAATTAAGATATAATTTATAACTGTGGTATAATAAGTAATCTTTGTGAAAGTCTAATGATTACAACTTCATTACCTAATGACACCATTCTAGGGTTCCTAGAAAGTGTTTAGGAAGTGGATTTAGCGGAGAGGTGGTTATGGAAAAGTAAGGGTATGAGAATATGAGAGAATGATGACTTTGAAAGGGGATAGGAGGTGTTCGACGGCTGTACGGGCTGAAAACATCGAAGAGAACCATGGAACGCTGGTTTTGATGAGGCATAGTTCCCGGGGCGATCCGCCATCTGTTCTTGAGCAAGATGCAAAAATTCTACTAGCAAAAAGAAGAGGATATTACACTCTGTTGAGCAGAAAATCACAAAATGAAGTCTCCAAATACACAAAACAATAGCTAAAGTCTCAAAACAACAAAATACAACCTACGAGTAACTTCCTAAAAGAAATAAACCTAATAAGGAATAAATAGATAGGAAATAATGGTTCACATGACCTGCACTAGTAAGAAAAACATGAAATTGTTGACCTAATTTTCAGTGTGGTCTTAGTTTTCTACTCCCAGAACCCAAAATCTAGTCTTAGGAATTCTTTGTTGACCATGTTAGTAGACTAGAAATGGAGCCCAGCTTCCATAGAACTTCAAACCAGTTCTTGATTCATTTTTGTGAAGAACTCGCATGAGTGTTTCTAAGCACTCAACTTGTAAATGCAAGGGCTAAGGACCAACATGTAGAGGGGCCAAAAATGAGTTCTTACAGGATCAGACGGTCTTAGGTGAATCTTTCGTGACTCAACAACACACTCGATACACCACGCACGAAGTTGACATATTTTTTGCCCTACCGTCAGCAAACTTGTCTGAACATCCCGGATGACGAAACAGACTGCGTCGATGCGTTCGAAACGTCAATTTTAGCCAGGAAGGACACCCATATTGCTAGGGTTACGCGCGCGCATAATCAACACAAAAATTGATGCACCTTTTTTTTAATTTATTTAGCGGGGCGTGGGCCCGGGCTCAACTCAGGTTCAACTCGGGCTGGACTTGGGCTGCACAAGGATTAAACAATTTTCAAATTTCAAATGGGTAATTTAATTTCATCTTAATTGATAGTTAAAATTTTAAACTTAAGCGGTTGCATAGCTAAATTCATTCAATTCCCCGCCAATGTGAGCATAATGTTTCTTTCTGGAATTCCCAATATACAAAAATAGCTTCTTCCCCTTCCTAAGCTCTGATTTCCTCATTCGACTTCCCCCCCTTTCGATCATGCTTCTTTTCGCTCGATAGAAGCCAAAGAAACCTTCTCTTTTCTACACTGAAGCATTCGCCCTTCACCTGCTTCTTTCGATCCCGCCTGCTCGATCCAGTCTCTGCACCTCGCCTGCTAGCTGCGCCTCTCCTCTTTTCCGCTGAAGACCCTCAATCGCATCCCTCTTCCTCACGCTGAAGAAGCCCCGCTCTACAAGTCCCGCTCGCCCCACACGACCAAACTCTCGCCTTTACAACTTCGCGAATCACGATCTTCTTCCTCACGCAGAAGCACATGCTCCGCCTCCCCTCTTGCGAACTCCCCTCCGCACCGAAGCACTCACCTGCTTCGCCTCTCCCATTCTGCTCTCTTCTCCTTTGCACCGAGACCCTCGCTCGCTCGCCTCCCTTCTTCCCTTTCGACTTTCCTGCTTCGCCTCCCTTCTGCCTGAATAGCATTAGTAACTCACCTCTCCCCTCGAAACCGAAACCCCCATTCGCCTGCTTCGCCTCCTCTCCTCTCGGCTCTCTTCTCCTCTGCACCCAGACCCTCTCTCACTATACATTGTATGTGGATAAGTCAGTAAATATACAGGAATTGAGGACAAGTATACCCAAATTTCTCATGTCATGGGTAACATTTCACTTTATATTCTTTTTGAACGCTAGTAATGTGGTAAGTAAAATTGGGCTTAAATGCTAGATATGTGAATATATTGGAATTGAGTGACATACATATTCAATACACTCGACTATTGACATACTTTTCATTATGTACATCTGCACATTATATGTGTAATCTTTCGTTGAACTGAATTCTCATGCCAATTTCTCGGTGTGCCTTTGCGAGTTAAATTCGGACGTGGTGGAAGCGTTAAATGATCGTGGATCTACTCCTGTAACAGTCGAAAATGGACGACATCAAACTTCGAGCCAGTGAGATCTCTAAAAAAAACGATTTATAAAAAATTTAACAACATTTTCAAAGCAAAATCATTTTTCAAAATTAAACAACATTTAAAAAAAACAAAAACATAACACCTATTTTTGAATTTACGGGAGTCTTTCGAATGATGTAACCCGCGGTTGCTAATAAGATCTCTTCAGTTTAAATGAGCCTAACAAATCATTTAAACTAAGTAAATTCAAAAGAAAATAGTGGTACTGGAACGAGGGAACCGTGAGATTATAACCGGTGTCGCTCTAATCAACTTTAATCCCCCATAATGACAACAAAACAAAACAAAAACCTTGAAATACACTTGGTAAAACTTTTTGAACATTAGAATTTAGGACTGTTACTTCGAGGAGGAGCTCGAAGCCAGCTTTGTGGGCAGCGCAGCAAGGAGCTTGGAGCGGACTACTAGTCGAGGTGGTCGTCATTTTACAATAGCAAAACAAGTCTACACCAGCTAAACTTTGCTAGTCTAAATAACAACCCATGGAACTTTGAAGTACCTCGCCCAATGCGACATAAATTCTCTTATCTTCTTTAGGCTCCTGTACAACCATGTTGTGCAGTGTAAGTCCTAACTCGCCATAGGTTCCGAGTTTGTCGTGTGACACGACGTAAACCCTCTTATCTCTGCGGGTTACTTGCATAATCAGATACTATGCAAATATAAGTCCCAAATAATAAAATTGGCAGGATCAAACACTTACATAACATAATCTCCAAAATTCAGTCACACATTAAAGTAGTTTGGGAAGTCACTGAGGTTTCTCCTCAGGATTTGTGACATCCCCTACTTTTTCTTGCCTTTGGACTCCTGAAAATAACTGTTTATATTTGAGTCACTCTCATTTGCTTTTCGACGTCCTATCGTGAAAATCTAAACTTTGAATTCTTGAAGACTAGTACCTCAGATCATTATCGAGAGTTTTCTCAAGTGAGCCCCGTCATTTGAAATGTAATTAACTATAAGGGCTTGACTTTATAGGGAACTTGGAACTCAGGTAAAATAAACTCTATTTAATCTTTATATTAAATAGAGAAACTTGTCGGTCACATATAAAAAGGTTCGCAGACCAAACGGATGTCACAAATCTCTTAGTTTGCAGGATTGGGTCTGTTGCCAGGATATGCATTCATTTTTTTGGAAATGTGTAGTATTCACGGTATCGGGCACCATTATGTAAACTATTGGACAAATGAGATTCATTTGGTCTCATTTTTCGAAAATGAAAACACACTACTTTCAAAACTCAAATTATATATCTCTTATATTAAATTAAATTTTAAAATTATTTTCAATATTTTCAAAAATAAAAAAAATTTGACTGACAGAAATCTCACTGAAGTTGCTATTGGGACGTGCATTCACCTAATTGGCCATCTCAGGATCTCCGATTCCACGACATGTGGAATCCTGCAATTCGGTCCCGCTGCCCCGTCACCTGAATTACTCGGCACTGACATGAAGTCGTGGCATGCAATTCATGTCATTGTGTATTGGTGCTTACAACTAGTCAGTTAACAACTCGTCATACTCATTCAGATTGAATTCCTTATACCTATTATAGAAGGATAGAAGCTAAAACTGGTAAATATTCTTGGAGATTGCTTCTTTTTCCTTGGCGACTCAAACTTCTAATCAGCACTTTTAACTTTAGTGGTATTACCACATTTCCGAAAAACTGGCGTCTTAGAATCTACATCAGTAAAAGTAGTATGATTAATGATGTTGTCTATTTGAATGATCCTAGAGTACGCAGAGTTAGGACTGGTGACAACTATCATGTGTAAACCATAATTCGGGTTGTCTTATGGTTCTTTTTTTATTGTGATATTTTATCAGGGCTTTATTTAGCTGTTTCAGAACATTGTTGTACCATTTTGTCGAAGGTCTTCCACATTTTTCTTTATAATAACTGAACCCAATTAGTTGAGATGAGGAAAATGATGATAATGCTGATGACTATATCTTTTAGCTCTACTACATTAAGTTGATCCCTTATTTTTCTAGGGCTTCTTCGGCTCCTTGTTAGAGTCCATGCCATGGTCTTGTCACTTCCATTAACTTGTCATTAAATTCTTCTTTAGAAGCTCATTGCGCCTTTTTGCATTTCATACAAAATCAATTTTTCATTTTTTTCTTCGTCTATTTTTATTCCGGAGAATTGTTAGCATATCTCATTTCAATCTCTTTTTGAGCGCTATGCACTTCCAAACACTTACATTCTATCTGAATGTACCTTGTTCACGTAAGCTGTCCTTGTCATCTGATACCATGGTTTATGATCAATGGGAACACCATTTATCTTTTGATGCATGTTGAACATATTGAGCCGAGCTATAAGTAGCTTGTTGAACGTATTGGCTTACTTGCAGTGCCACTGTTGGTTTCTTATACACTACTCAGCCCTCTCTCCTCTTCAATTATAAATGAATTTAAGTTGCAGCATTCACAGTTTGAATACGTGACATAGGGAAACAGAGCATAAACCACTAAACAAACTTGGTCGGCTGTTTTTTCGAGTTAACTAATTTATTTTTCGATTATCCAAGTCTTTTAACACTTTCAGCAAGCTCTGTGCTTGTATTTTGTCCAAATTTATAGGTTACGTTTGTATTAGTTTCAGATATGTCTATTTTGGTCACTTCTCTGAATTTTCTGGAACTGAACTGTTTCTTTCTGATTAACATACCAACTATATCGTTCATTTGATCTTACTTTCTGACCTCTAAAAGCTCATCTTTATTTACTTCCTTTTCTAGTACTTATTTTTTGATCGGCAGTCTATAATCAATACGAGCATCTCCTTAACGGTTTATGATTTCAACTAAAATTTCACTTTGGCTAAGGCTAAGAAATGATAGAGTTTGGACAAGGTTGTAATCATATATTTTCTGATTTTTTTTTTCTATGGCAGGCCTCACATAATTTTATTTATTTATTTTTTTACATGTGCTGTTTTTTATGCCTTCAAAATGCTCACTTTGGTCTTTTCCTCTGCTAATTGATTTTCATTACTTGTAGTTTCTATGAAAGTACATTCAATGTGTCGGAATTTCTGGCCATATAATGAGCTTTTAATGTTTGACTTTATGGAGCATTACCAGCGCAGATTCATGCTTAGTATATTTCTTTCAGGTGTCAAGCCCTTCTTTCATAAGGATGCCTTCCTCTCAAGCAGAAGACAAGAACAGGTGTAGTTTTATTAGTGAAAAATCGTTTTGAAACCTGAGGGGGTGTTTGGTAACACTTTTTATAAGATTTATCACTTGATTTACTAATCCAACTAAATGCTAAAATGCAGGAATTCCGTGGGTTTATAAATTTTCAGATTTTGGGTCCCAAATTTTGCATTTGATTCGGCTTAAAATTTGATTTACTAAATTCAGGGGAAGGGTGGATTTAACGGATTTATCAATTATGGATTTATGCTAAATCCTACTTGAAGCCAAACACCTCCTAAATCTCTTACATTGTCTTTCATTTCTTTTTATCTTTTGTTATCTATTTTGCCAGGAGTGAAAGTGCTAACTCGCATTCCGTAGATGTTCTTCCATTGCCATCCCAGGACAGCACAGAGATGATGGGAGCTATTGTGAAAACCGATAAACCAAAAACACCTGCTGGAGAGTACCTTACTGCTGCTTTGATGGACTTTGATCCTGATCAATTTGAAAGCTTTGCAACGGTTGCCGATGGTGCAAACAAACTTCTGATGCTGGTATTTTGAATTAATAATTGCACTTGTTTTGAATGACACCCTTTTCTCTTGAGCCACCTGGATTTACTGTTTTCCTGACTGTGATAAGGCCTAACCAATTTATTAGGTTCCTATCAATGTAGGTTCCAAGGAAGGGTCTAGTTCAAGCGTAAATTTCGAATGTCACCACATGTTTTCATAATACTATGATATGACAAACTTGACTTTAGAGGTTTTGGAGGGAGGAGAGGGTTGTTGCGTAGAGATTGTTTTTTTTTTTATTAGAATGCATGCCTTTTGTGGGCTCCAAAAATTCATGATCACTTCTCAGGAGATTCTTCGCATTTTGCTTTTATTTTGTTTTGAGTAAGCTTTGGATCGTCAAAATTTCAGAAGACAGATTGAATTGTAGTTAAGAGATTACCCAAAGATTTCACCCACATTTTGGGATGACTTTTTGATATGGGATTTGAGGTTTCCCATAGACACAAGCCACTATGGTTAATTATCCCTCCCTATAATGGGCGAGCACTTTCGGTTAAGGGTAGTCATTAAAGATTGAAAATCGAATACATAATAGCAACATAATTAAGATTTAAATTGTAGAATTAATCACTTGAAGTTTAAAGCGGATGGTGGGAAAATAAAAACAAAACCCATTCAAGATCTCATAGAACTGAGTTCTATCTTCTCGTGTCTCATAGTCCTTGATCTACTTAGAGTAGTCGATCGAACCTGACAACAGTTATGGATTGTGTCGTCCAAGAGATCCTTGTATATCTGGGATGGGTGTTTGCCCAAGGAGATGAATTTAAATCAACCTTAGCTAACAGAAGGCTTTATGTCAATCAATTATACCTAGATAATTCACAACTCAATGGGTAAAAAGCCATAGGAAAATATACGAGCTGCGATCGTGATTGTAATATAATGGTGTCATTTGACGGCAACCACTCGGTCGGAGGGCTTTGGTCGTAATCGCTACTTTGTGGTGTCATTTGGTGGCAAAAGCACGAGGGCGGAGGACTCGGGCCACCTCCTTATTGGTATGCAATTACTTTGATTATAAATATATTGATACATTTGATATGAAATTCACTTTTTATGAGTTGAAGTCAATCAAATGTTTGTAACCCTCGATAAACTGTTGCGGAGTGTGGATGAAATTTTGCTTTTAGGTTTTAGTGATTGAATTTTGCTTACATGTTGGTTATTTTGAAAAGCTTGATTTCAAAAGATTGACCTCTCCGATTGAAATCATTATATCAACACGACCATCATTGTGGGTTTGAACATTTAAAACTTTTATTTTTGAAGGGGAGACATTTAATTTTGTTAGTTTAAGCTTTTCAGAGTATAAGTGATGTTGACTCCTATCATTATATGTAGGAAGTTCAGACTAGATGATTTAGATTTGTAAATTCTCATTTTAGGGTGTGGAAGTTAATTTTGAGATTACTAGACTCGTCAATTTCAATCTTTATAAGGAGGAAGATCAGACTAGTGAGGTTATTTGGGCTTGTAAAATCCTATTTTAAGGACTGGTGTTGATTAGTCTAGCAGGCGGATCAGACTAGTGATGTGATTTGAACTTGTAAATTCCTATTTTAGATTTGGATGTTTATTTTTAAACTATTAGACTAATCAACTCCAGTCCTTACTAAAAGGAGGACCAGAGTAATGGGATGAGACTTATAACCCTGCCTTATTAACAAGGAGGCCCGATCAACTGCGGAACATTCTCGAACCCAGTAGTTGAGCTTTCAACGCATTGGTTGGAGCACAAGCAAACTTGTAATTTTATGTATTTGAGCTATTTTAGCTGTAGCATTTGATGTCTTAAGACATTTTACATAGTTTATAGCATTCATTAAATTCAATAGCTTCAAAGAGTGCATCTTGAAAGTTGGTGTGAATGATTGACTACAAATTTTCATTTTAAGCATTTTACCGCCTTCTGTTGGCTAGCAAGAATATTTCAAATTCGGTGGCGGAATTGAAATATTAATTCTTCATTTTTAACATTTAAAAATAGCGGTTGTCTTAAATTTAGGTCCAATTTATGATATTTAATATTTAAGCTAAGCTCAGCCCTAAATTTGTAGAAGTTGATATTTAATTTAAGTTTAGCCTTCTAATTAATTATATTTCATATTTAAGTCAGGTTACATGTCCTAACTTATAGAAATTGACATTTAATTTCAATTTAACCCTCTCAATTTGCGATATTTCATATTTAATTTAATTTGGCACCCCCCAAATTTATGTTTTCAAATATGTGGAACAAAGATTACTTTGTATTATGACATATCTTTATTTGATCATCTTCAAATATAATCGGACTTGGGACTTTTAATTAACAATTTGTATTTTCTTTTATTTCTTTTTTGACATCATTTTAAGTCAAAATAATTCAAAATTTTAAGAACATTTGGAAGTCCAAGATCATCATAAATTTCGGCAGCCTCCCTGCGTTATCCTCGGTTAGGAGGCTGCATCGAGATGCTTGTCTATCCAGTTGTTTATATGACGCGTTGGTTAGTGTCGTGAGACACTGCAGCCGGAAGATATCTTCTAATCCACTGGTCTATAAGACGTGTGTGGGTATTCACTTTTTCTGCATTTTTTGTTGGAAAAGAGCTAATCCACCAGTCTATAAATTGCATGTGGGTCTTCACTTTATCTTAACAATACTTTTTATTTTGCAACAATTGAGGGGATTTTTGCAATGGTTAGATCATAGTGAGCGTTCAAACCGAAGACAACAAACAATTCAGTTTGTCCTATATCAATCAAATAAATCTTAAACCCTCCTCATTTACCAAATTTGTTGAACCTTGAGCAACGAGTTCCAAAGACCTGTATTTAAACCGGAAGAACTGGCACTTGGTTAATAAAGAGAAGGGTTGGTTCCTAGGTTGTGTTGCGGAACCATCTGCAGCAAAGTTTGCTCCATTTGTAATATCTTAGTCTAAAGACTCTAGCTATGGGCAAAGGCAGCTACTGCTCAAGCTTTCACAGAGGAAATCTAGAATGAGGCAGTCGTCTCACAGAGACGACCAGTGGAGCGATTGAAGAAGATGCAAATTTTGGGGAGAGGAAAAATGTTTCCGAGCGCAGCGGAGAATCCTCCAATATACCGGCACTTTGCTGGAGCTCGCCGCCTCCGCCGCTTGAGCAAGATAAACCGCTACAGCTAAGAACAAGCGCAATGCTATTAGAGATATGTATTAATTCTCCTCCCCATTATAGCTCCACACGCCATCGATACAATGCCTGCAACTGTGTTATGCTCTACGCTTCTACTGTGTTTCAGAGGCATGAGAGTGGGGGCGGGGGCCAACTTCGTGTAATTTACAGGAGAGGCGAAGCATAGAGGAGCCACTTGTTCTTTAGGGCAGATGAGATCACAGAATTGAGAAGTTGCTTGCATTCTCGCCCACGCTAGGGCAGAGCAGGAGAAGGTTGCTGCTAGGGTTCAGTGCAAGGAGGTCGCGACACAAGGGTTTGATTGCAGCTAAAGGGACTTGATCGTGACTGGGAGACGCGACAGGGAGGCGTGTCGTCAGCAAGAAGCTTCGGCGAGGCCTTCCGGCGTGAACAGGAGAGGAGCAGGTAAGGTCGCGCAAAGGGAATCGATCGCTATGGGTTTCAGGCCTCTATATCAAGTGAACTCGTCGTTGCCTTCCGTGTTAGTGTGAATCATGACTGTTTGGCAAGGCTTTCGGGTAGGAGTGGGGCAAGCGAGCATTTTTGGCATCGACATGGAGAAAGAGGGGATCCCGTGTCCCGTGCCTCTGTATGCCGCGATTCCATTGTTATTTTCCTTGTCTGTATGCTCTCATCGTGAATGCACTACAAAGGATTTGGGTAGAAGAGAGGCTTACCAGCTGGAGATTCGACGATCTTCACTCGTAGCGATCTCGTTTCCTCTCCGTAGCATTTCACGAACGAGAGAGAAGTGGGGGTGGTTGCAAGGTGAGATTCGTGCTATGGGTTTCAGTTCCCAATCCCCGTGAAACTTCTATCATGAGCCATCGCCCACAACTACCAACACAGCCTCCAGAGCCACCGACACACACTCGCACAACACAACACACACCCAAACCACCAACAAGCACATCAACCACAACCACCAACACAACCTCCACATGCCAACAACAAGGACAATATGCACAACCACCAACACAGCCTCCAGAGCCACCAACACACACACACTCACATCCACCACCAACACCCAGCACAACACACACAAAGCCACCAACAAGCACATCACCCACAACCACCAACAGAGGCTCCACATGGCACCAACAAACACATCACCCATAGGCACCAACACAGACTCTACATGCACCAACAAGCACACACCCACAACCACCAACACAACCTCCAAAGCTATCAACACACACAAAGTCACTTCCACCACCAACAAGCACATTACTCACAACCATACGCACAATCTCCACAGCCACCCACACACACACACTCACATCCACACACACCCAAAGCCACCACGTCCACCACCCAACAACATAACAATCATCATAACTACATCATACTCAACACACTTCTCCCATCAAATTGAACAAGAAATCATTTCTAGAGCAGATCATAAATACCACGATGTTGCTTAAAGGCTCATTCGAACAAATAAAATGAAAGAACACTAAACAAGCACGAGCAACAAAATGTGCCAAGCACACCAAGGTACCCGAAACAATACAAGTGAACTATTCAAAGCCATTTCATCAAAAATTACCATCAAAATTAACTACAAGATTAATTACAGATATCTCTTCCAGCCTTTTGTCAGATTGAAGATCAAACAAAGAAATATAAAAACTGCTGGGAATGTAGATTTTAGGCAATTACATTCAAGACTCTCGTAACAGTGCTCTTGAACAAATCAACAACCCAATTTCATCCATTCATCAAATTCTTGGTAAAACAACCAACCTCGAAAACCCAATCAATTGAGAAAGCCAAAAATTGCAGGAAGAAAGTCATTTCATAAAAAATTACCACAGGAATGACTGCAGTAACCAGAGATTATAGAGAGAAGAGGAGAAAGGGAATCGTACGCGTGAGAGGGATAGAGGCACGAGAGAGAGTACTGAAAGGTTCGCTAGAGCGATTGACGCTAGGGTGGATGAGAGGCGAGGTCGAGGGCGGCGGGATAAAACTTACGCGAATGAATGAGGGCCGCCGGGTCGATCCCACGACCGTGTTTATTAAATAAACCCATACGCCGTTTACCAAAATGCAGCCTGAATGCACCAAAACAAACGGGACGGCGACGTTTTGAAAACGCTGCCTGCCATTATAAGCTACCCCAAACGGGGCCTAATTCAGCCAGGGGTAATTATATAGAAATCAAATATAAATTATCCTTGACATCAATATGTAAAGAGTAATATTACATCCCTACCCTTTTCTCCTTGTTAAATATCTGTCACAACATATTATTTCAGGAACTTAATTTTTATTAAAATAATGCCCCATCAAAATCGAAGCTAGTGTTATCACCTAGAAAATTTTAAAAAAAATAAAATAAAATTTCAGTTTATCACAAGTCCTAAAGAAATGATTTCTAAAATAATTTAAAAACAATTAAATTTTAAATACAACTGAAATTTTTATTTAACATCATCATAATTCACACATGTACGGTAAAATTTTCCTATCAAATTAATCTGAAGTAATTCAAAAAATTTCATTTACATAATTTCAGAGCATCTAATGTACATCAAAATTTTTATTTAAAGCAAAAAATTTCATTTCATATGTTACCTCGGCACCTCTCTATTATAGCTATACGACAAAATAGAATTTATCATAGTAGTTGCATAGCTTAGTGCTCAGAAGATATATAACTAATATATAATTCAAAGTCTAAGAATTAGAATAAATAATATAAACTAACCTAATTTTTTTAATTGTTATAAAATAAAATCATCGGAATAAGGTGTTTCTCTGAATGAAAATTTTGAAAAGAATATCAAAATTTACATTGTTTTAAATTTTATTTTTAAAAATATACTATGGTGATGCTATGCTAGTTTATAATTTCTCTCTCTTATTCCAATCATTACTTACTATAAGGGGGGAATATTTTCTCACGGTTTTAGATTATATTGTGTATGAGGGTTTAAGTTCATTGTCTATCATATAAGAGCTCTTTTATCTCACTATCTATACGTGTGTCATAGGCATATTAACTTGAGGGACCTTTTATCTCTATATCGGCTCATCTTTGACATCCTACCTGTATGTTTTTCATATTCACATATGAGTTCACTTTTACTGCCTTACCTGTACAGGTGATCATATTTATGTATAGTCTCACCTTTGTCCCCTTACTTGCATAGACATCATAACTATATCGGTATTAACATAGCCGCCCATAACAGGAAATTTTTGAAGTTCAATATATTTCATATGTGAACATTTGAGCAATCATGTGATTCATTTTAAAATATACTAAACAATTATATATACAAAAAAGGAATTATAGTTACTGGATGTTTTTATTTAAAAATATTATCAATTAACAAAACATTTGTATAATCATAATATGTTAAATTGAAAGTTTGTATTATAAAAATTAATATGTTGTCACTTACATGGTTAGTAAGCTGTAAACATGTTTTCTCAATATCAGAAATTTCTACTGCATCATACCCGTCAGTCTAATTTATATCAAAATAGACATGTAACATACTAAAGAAAATTTACGTTCATATATAAGAATTTACATATCTTACTCAATTGACCAATGACGTCCTTGAGTTGAACATGCCAAAATTTCTTACTTTTGCATACAATTTATAAAAGAAATGCATTCCAAATTTATATTAGGTTTTAACTTTTAATAATTTCTAAATCAATTTAACCAGAAAACATATTTGTACCTTAAAATACCTCCCCATAAAAGCATTGAAGCCTGCCGCTTTGAAATCAATTTGTTGGAGAATAACAATAAAATGCAATTTCTATTTGAACCTATGGTACTTAATATTTAAAGCTTCACAACCTTTTTTGTCATTCATAATGGGGATTATCTCGAGTGCTAAGTGATTTATATCTTTTGTTGATGACCCTACTAGAATCAATTGGATCTTTTGAATAAAAGATAAATCTAAAAAAAAAAAATTTTTAATTCTATTTTGTAATATAAACACAATTTAAAATCTAAACTCAAGTCTATAGGAGTGGCCAAAAACTCCTTTATAATGAAATGTTTACTAAAATCTAAAAGAGAAGCATAATACGGTGGTGAGACCTGCAATGCTCTATGGCGCTGAATGCTGGCCTTTAAAAGTGAAGCGTGATACTAAGTTAAGTGTTGTCGAGATGAGAATGATTAGGTGGATGAGTGGCTTTACACTTAAAGACAAAATGCGAAATGAATATATCCATGATAGGGTTTGATAGGGGGGTTGGTGTAGCTCCCGTGATGGACAAAATTAGAGAAAGTTGCCTTAGATGATTTGGTCACATTAAGCGTCGACAATCTGATGATCCGATTAGAAGAGTAGATTTTTAGATTTGGCTTATGTTAAGAAGGGTAGATATAGACATAAAAAGGCCTGTGTATGTTCTTGGGCTTATTGTATAAAAAATGATCTTAATTTATTAGAACTAAATGAAAATATGACATTAAATAGGACACAATGGAGAAAAAGGATTCTTGTAGCCAACCCCCCGTAGTGGGATTAAGGCTTTGTTGTTGTTGTTGTTGTTGTATACATTTTAACAAAATGAGATATCTGAAGAGAAGATAGGCACCTCTTGGCGGTTCTCAATCAATTGCATATTTTGTTAGCATACACCATCAAGAAATCTAATTTATCGCCCTATCAAACGCTCACCTAAGGCTACCCTAGAAATGGAAACCCATCTTGCTTTGCTCTTTACTGCTTTCTCTGACATGTAATTCTTTCTTACTGTGTTTTCCCTCTGTTTCAGTAAACTTCATCTTGAGTCTAATCTTAAGCTAATAATCTGAAAGTTATTTGCACTTCTACACTTCAGGTCTTAGCTGCAGTAATCAAAGCTGGTGCTGCTAGGGAGCATGAAATATTAGCTGAAATAAGAGATGCTGTTTTTGCTTTCATTCGTAAAATGGAACCAAAGAGAGTAATGGACACTGTGCTAGTTTCCCGGGTTAGAATTTTGTATATACGATCCTTGCTCTCCAGATCACCAGAGCTTCAATCCATGAAGGCATGAAACCTTATTTATCTCTAGCCATTTATCTTTGTGCTTACATGAGAGCTAGTTCATTGTGCATGAATCACTACAGGTATCTCCAGTTGAGCGTTTTTTGGAGAAAGCTAATACTGTGCGAAGTCGAAGCTCTAGCCGAGGTAGTAGTCCTGGCAAATCTGCTGCCTATTATGATTCAGGTGGGAGGAGTGCTTTAATTGAGGAGCATATCCAAGGGTTTAAGGTTAATATACGGCAAGAAAAGAAGTCCAAACTCTCATCAATAGTGTTAAAACTTCGGGGCATTGATGAGGTATGATACGTATGTCCTGCTTGTAGCTGTCTGGTCAATGTGGATTTCATAATCATCCATGTAATTCTCGAGTAAGGCATCAAAGCCCTTACTTGAAATAATGACATACTAGGCAGCAACTAATTAGAGTTCTGGAATGAGGGTCATGCTTGCAAACTTTTCCTTGCTTTTGGAAAAGTAATTGTTTTCGTAATTAATATAGTCATCTTCTCGCAATACTATGCCAAAGCCTTGTATTATTTATTTATTTTTTTACTTTTTTTAGGCATGTTACCTTTTTTTTTATGGGAACACAACAAAATTTGGCTATTCAAAATTTGTGCTTATCTACCCTTGTATTGCATATCCGAAACATGTAACTCATGCTTAAATAACCCTTTTTGCACATTTTCAGCTCTTATCTTTTCCCGAAGTTCAACTTTAAACTCAACCTATGTAGCCAGTTCCTTGGTTCTTCACATCAGCTTCACATCTTTTTGCTTTTTTTTGTGTGTGGATGCTTATGATTCCTTAGTTAGCATTTGGCACAAAGTGTTAGATGTTTATTTTGTCTAAGAAAACCTGTATTTGTCTTGTATGTGAATTTGCACGAGACAAATTCCTATTATCTTCACTATTTTAATTAATTAGCATAATATTTAGTACGCCTTTAAAGTGTTTTTGAAATATTCATATGCTACACTTGAAATTGCATATCAGTACTTTACGTAAAAACTTATTCTCTAATTATTCAATTAATATTCTCTTATTTTCATTAGTGCATTTCAATTGTAATCTTTAGTGCCATTTTTCAATCATTTGAAATGTTACACATTTAAATTGCTTATTAACAATAACAGCAAGAACACAAATGTGGACTAAAACTTGGATGTTATTCTAAGCACGCCCTTGAAATTATTTTTGGACCATATTCAATTAGTTGCATCAAAACAAGAAGGGGAAATCTTAATACCGGACGTAGCCCAAAATTTAATAGAAACAAAAATATTATTGCTGAAATTTAATTAGTTTACAAACAAGACTCTTGAAAATTGGAAAATAACACACCAAAGATAAAAAGAAACCTGGGGCGAGGATGAGGGTGGCGTATGGTGGTAGATAGCAGGTAGTGGGTGATTTTTGGGGCTTTTAGGGTAGGACTGCTAGGCGTAGGTTTGACAGCAACCTGCTGGCTGTCCTGGACTGTCGGCAACAATCAGAGGATGGCAAGGAGGCTGGTAGCAGCTGGGGAGGTGTGTAAACAAGCCGAACACGGTTAGCCTAGGCTCAGCTCGCGTTCGGCTCTTTAAAAATTACCACAGTTCATGCTCGGCTCTTTTATATTTCAAACGAAAAAATATTGTTTGTGTTCGGCTTGTTTGCTTAGCTAGCCGAACATGATCTGTTCTAGAACAAAGAATCGTTTTGACAACCCTAGTCATGCAACTGTAGAATATTAAGGGTTGAGGCGAGATTTAAATCTTATTATTTATATTAAAACATAATTTAAATATAATTTAATATATTTTTATTCAATTTTTCATTTAATAATTTTAATTGCTTATAAATCTTTGTATCATTGCAGTCAAATAATTTTTATATATATATATATATATATATATATATGTATGTATCTATGTATATATAATTTAATTATTTGAGGCAAAACGAGCTGAACACGAGTGAACATCTTTGCTCATGTTCGACGTGTTTATATATCGAACGCAAAAGAATTGTTCGTGTTTGGTTTATTCACTTGGCGAACGAATCGAACACGAACTTCTTAACAAGCTGAACACAAACAGTTCGCGAACGCCGTTTCGCTGCCCCTACTTGGAAGGACAGCTGTTGGTTTGGGGGAGGATGGGAAAGTGGGCTGCAAGTATTGGAAAGCACAGTTGTAGGTCTGGGAGGCTGGGATAGTGGGCTACATGTGTTCGAAGGACAGCAGTCATGGGAAGACAGGGAGATGTGTTGTCATGGGTAGGTGGGTTGCTGGGTAGCAGTGGGGATTCCCACCAAATGAAAAGAGGGAGGAGGGGGTTGGTTCAACTCCCGGCCGTTGTTGAATGTGCTTGAAGTGGTTTAGCCCCCATAGAGCCCGCCTCACATCTTGTAGGTATTTAACAGAAAAATAGATTCATATACCAAAAATAACTAATTCAGAGAAGCTCCAAGCGTACCTTTGTGTCATCCTTGGTTTTGCTTTGTTTGCTTCAGATTTTCTTAATTTGATTTAACAGGAAACTTGGAGGCAGCATGTTACAGGTGGAAAGCTTCGTGAGATAACTGAGGAAGCTAAAGCTTTTGCACTAGGGAACAAGGCTCTTGCTGCTCTTTTTGTTCACACTCCTGCTGGTGAGCTACAGCGGCAAATTCGATCCTGGCTTGCAGAGAATTTTGAATTTCTTTCAGTTTCTGGCGGTGATGCCCTAGGAGGAACATCCGGGGAGATAGAGCTTCTGTCTACAGCAATTATGGATGGATGGATGGCCGGTTTAGGTTCCGCTCAGCTTCCTCATACAGATGCTTTAGGGCTGCTGCTATCAGAATATACCAAGCGAGTTTATACATCTCAATTGCAGCACCTAAAGGTGTGTGCCCGTACCGAACCCAAGATGATCTTTTTCTTTTACCTCTGAGATTCAGTTATGTAATCTTATTTACATAGATGATGTGCAGCCAAAAAAGTACGTTAAAATATAGGATTTTACATTTTCTCCAGTCATAATATTGCCAAATATCATGAAATATTTGAATGATAGAATCATGAACAAAGTTGGATGGATTAGTCTTTGCAATCTGGTATTATTATACTATTTTTGAAGGTAACTGGAGCGGATAAAGCAAATTTACTGTGAAGGACAGTGTTGCTAGCTAGCTTTTATAATGTATAAAAACTTATAATAAACGCATTCAATTACTTAGCTCAAATAAGATCAACTTTTCATAGGCCAACCAAAGGGAGTTGAACTTGACTGCAAAGGAGCTAAACTGTGTCAGTTTTTAATTCTTTTTTAACCCATCTTTGTTTATTTATTTTTGCCTAATTTGATGTAATATAATAATTTTTAGCTAACTTAGTCCCAATTGCAAACAAAAGTAGTTGATCCGCTTTGCAAAGTAGATCCAAACCAGTTTTCAAGCTTGGTTGGGCCCATCTTTTTTTTTTCCATAATTTACACTTTTATTTAATTTTGTAATTGTAATAATATAAACATATTCTCATCCTTATCTTTTTGCAAGTAAGGTCAATATAATTTCAGTCTATCATTAGGTTTGTTTTCCTTTTGAAATAAACCTATTTGTATGGACTTCTACAATGGATTTTTTTGAGGAAATAAATTGATGCATCTTCTCCATTGATCCGAGTTTTCTCTGCAAGTCTTCTTAAATTGTTTATGTGAAATTTGCTCTTCTTCTTATTCTTTCTTTATTCTACACGTTTTCCTACATCAATTAGTATCCTCCTTACATCTATCCGTCCTCTATTAATCAGTATCAGAGCATTTCTTCTGTCATTATATAAGTGTAATTTTCCATCTTTTCTTCAATGGGTATATCAAGAAAATAAACCCTTTAATTGCTTGGGATAAAGAGGATGTACCTTGAAGCATGTGTTGGTTATCTCTTTTTAAGCATGATAAGAGTTAGAGGAAGTTGGAGTAGAGCCGTATACTAGTCGTGTACTAAGAAATTATGATGGTTAATGAATTTTTCAACTGTTTTTTATAATTAAGTTACCTTAATTATATACTGATTATTTTGTTCTTGTGTTTAAACGTTTATGAACAGGCCACCTTTTATATGATGAAATTCTTTGTAGTCTAAATTTGCTTGTAACTGAGTAGAGCTTGTTAGTTGCTTTACTTGAGAATCTGCTATTGGGGAACTCATCGAAACTAATATTTTCTTAATAAAATACTTACATTATGGTAATTATTAAATAACAGGAGCAAGGAATATATTGGAAGATATCTCAATGCAACCTCTTTGATAAAATTTTGTTTTTGTATGAATGCATACCTGAAGAACTGAATGACCAGAAAACTTCCAAGAAGTATGATCTTCTTGTTTTATTTTCTTGTATGTACTAATTTTCCCTGGGGCTTTATTTTTAAAAACTTTTGCAAAATTTGTATCAGAGATTAGATCGGGAAGAATACTTGATCATATTATAATCCAAATATTATATTTTTTTAACAAAATGATGATATTATTATACTGATAGGGTGATTTATCTTTCTTGTGTTGTTTTAACTGACATTGGTATTGCATCTGAGTAATGAGTAAACTTTATTTAAATATCAATGGTGTAGAAAAATGTAAACCTTTGGTGAAACTAATGCATATTATAGTAAAAGCTAGAAATATACGATAACTAAGAAATGCAAATCTTATGTAGTAGTATTTTGTGAACTATTTTATTCAGTACCTATGTCTGCGATGCTAGTACATTTTTTTTTATATTTATTAATGGCATTATGCATACGTAATTGTCTTGAAGGCAAATTTTCCTCAAATTTAATTGATAGGCAATATTATTTATTTATGTGACTTGAAGCTAAAAGAAACTGGCAAAAACATGGAACTGATAAAAATCAAGGGAATAGTGAAAGTTTTTATTTTTGTCAGGTGTCTTGTGGTTCGTCTTTTTTGTAAGCTGTGCTGATTGTCATTTCATATTATATGCAGAGACTAGCATATAATTTCCCTTGCACTTACATTTAAAGGATAATGCAAACTGAAAACTGCAAGTTGGTTTGATTTTTGGTAGGATATAGCAGGTACCTTGGCAATGGAAGAGGCTGAAAACCAGCCTCACGTGAATAAGTTGCGCTCAGCTTTGGAATCTGTTGACCACAAAAGAAGAAAGGTATTTGGAGTTTCTGTTATCAATAGTGTACTATGAAATTTACCTTTATTTCAATCTATGGCTGAGTTTAGAATTTCTGAATTCCTGCCAACTTTTTGGATTTCTATTGGATTGAGTTTGACATGGTTGGTTTCCTTCGTCGATCGCCACTATACTATACCACCTGGCTTTCTCTTGCAAGGGTTTGGCTTGGGCTGGAATTTTTTCTACACTTCAACTTTATACATCATATGTTTGTTTATGCTTTAAGTGCCAAAGTATTCCTTATAATGTAAATTGACAGATTTTGGTTTTAATGGCGGTCTGCAAAAGATTTACGCACATATTAAATAACCTTTATCATTAAGTTTTTGGGAATCTGCGCAAATTTTTTCGCGTTGGACTTGTTGAGAAATAAGTTTTGGATTAATCATGTATGAAGAAAGTGAACGCATGTTATTATCATCTTCATCATTGTTATCTTCAGGCTAATGGTTTATGAGAGCTTGGGACCACATGCTTCAAAGGGCCGTATATAACATAATGTACTTGTATTTGTTACAGAAAATAGTTTTTTTTTTTTTTTTTACGGAAATTGGCTGTGGGTTAATGTGCTATTTCAGATCAAATACTCCTTTGGCAATCATTTTTTATGTGCAAACTGCCAAAATAGTCCTTTCACTGTTAAAGTGGTGTCATTCTAATTCTCAAGTTTACAAAAGTGCTAAATTAATCCCTACAAATTTTTAATGGGGGTGGAAAATAATTATCACTAGGGATTATTTCAACCCATATTAAGAAAGTTTATGGACTATTCTGACAGTTTTATGAATATTAGATTAAAATGATCTCCAGCAAAGAGTCAAGAGACCATTTTGACACTTTTCTCCTGTTTTGTATATATGAGTTAGTTATGAACTTGTTACCCTTGCAGCTCCTAATAAACTGTTTGATCTTTGTTTAAATGGAATCCGGTGTGATTAAAAAATTGACTTCATAATGATACCAGAGTTAACCCAAATCACAATGAGAAAAACAAATGTTATTACTGAATTGCAAATGGTTACATGAAGATTCATCAAAAACAGGAAATAAATGACCACAACACCCAAACGGTCGAAAGACGATAACGACGCTATGAAATGAGAAATTAACGCAAGACACAGAAACGACTTCCTCTAGGGAGAGCGACAAATGTAACAGAGGAGGAAGGTGGCTGCGGCGGTGCTGGACGGAGGCTGGCAGCGAAGGCAGCGAGTAGGATGCTTGCTGGTAGGAAGTAGAATAACACATAGCCGACTGGTGTCTGGCGGCTGGAAGCAACAGGACAGCTGTTGGACGGGGCAGGAAGGTCGGGGTGGCTGCTGGAGGGTCGGGACGGCTGTTGGAAGGTCGGGACGGCTGCTGGAAGGCGGTCGAAGGTTTGGACGGCAGCACGATAGCTGTGGGAAGTGTCGAACAACAGCATGGAATGTATCGGCGTTGTTGGTGGCAGCAAAACAACTGTTAGAAGCGTCGAACAATAGCAGGGTTTTTCGGTTGTTGGAAGCAGTGTTGAAAGGGGCAGAATGATAGATGTCTCGAGCTACAACTGGAGCACCACCAGGGTCTGGTCATCAGCTCTGACGAATTACAACCGGAGCACCTTTTCGTTGTCGGGTACAACCCTCGAAGAGAAAGAATACCTCAAAGGCAGCACTCATGAAAATATGTTCTTCCCAATCCTAGGCAAACAACATCTATAAATAAGGGGGAACTAGATAAACTAGGAAAGGAAGATAATATGCAATAAATAAAGGAGAGCGGGGGTGGGGTGAGGGAGGAAATGGAATGAATTTGAAGTTAGGCTATTGCAGGAATGGATGAATTTAGGCTGGGAATCAAATAGGAAAGAGAATTAAATCGGAAATGGGACCATGGTCGTTGCAGCTGCTACGGTACCATGGTTGGTAAGCTCCTGCGTCGTATAATTGTGCCTCCAATGTTGGGTTATAGCGTGGTTTGTTCATCTTTGAGGGTTTTCTATTGTTGGTATGCATGCATGCTAATGAGTAATGTGTCAAAATAGTACCTGAACTATTTACATGGAATCATTTTAATTCTAGATTTCATAGAAGTGCCAATTTAGTTCCCAATTTTTTTAATATGGATTGAAAATGTCCACACACATGATTATTTTAGCTCACATAAAAATAAACTGGGCACTAATTAACACTTTTATAGATTCTTGAACTAAAATGACTCCCGACAAAAGTTTAGGGGACCATTTTTGTCACTTTTCTCCATATCTAATTAAATGGCGTGGTTCCTTCAAATTTATAAAAGGGCTGTCGCTATCACTCTTTTTATTATTTATTCCTTTATTATTATTTTTTGAATTTAAGGAACTTATTATGATTATCAGATTTTGCAACAAATGAGGAGTGACACAGCCTTACTATCAAAAGAAGAAGGTGGTTCTCCTATCCGCAATCCTTCCACTGCAGCTGAAGATGCACGCCTTGCTTCCCTTATAGCCCTAGATGAAATTCTAAAGCAAGTCGGGGTATACTAATTTTTCTCAGTTTATTCTTCCTTGATGCATTTATAATATAGAATATGTTTCAAAAAAAAGAACAATTGATAATTTATATTTGTAGGAGATAATGAGACAAGCCTCAGCAAGTTACTTAACTAAGACGAAGAAGGATGCACTTTTAGCATCTCTGGATGAGCTTTTAGGGCGCATGCCATCCCTCCTTGACATTGACCACCCATGTGCAAAGAGAAAGATTTTTGATGCTCGAAGAGAAATAGAGGTAATGTGGTTATCTTAGAAAGACAATCTCACTCTTTGCAGATTTATGTATTTTTTGTTCATTGAATTGTTTGTCTGTTAGCTTTCATTGCTTGAGTTGCTCTCTATGGATGAACGCAGCTTCTTATATTTTTATGTTGGTTCCCTATGAATGTTTTTTCAAGTGCTTTTAACTTTTGTTGCGTATCTTATAACACTTTCTTTATTTTCTTCAGTTAATATTATTCATTCCATCTATAGTGTGATCCATGAAGTCAACATTTTTTACATGTTTGTTTATTTATTTTATTTTTATGCATGACTTAGACACGAATATATATTGCTAAATGTGTAGTTTCTGATTTGATCCTGTCTATTGACCTAAATGTGTCGTTGAATACAGCATCACACAAAATTAATTGAAGGGCCTTTGATCGCAACACTCATTTCATGAGTCAAATCATGTCGATCCGATTAGAATGCTGAAATTGCCATGGGGAGAGTGCAATCAATTCGATAAACAATGGTACCCAATAAATGTGATGTTATGGAAGTTTAGCTTGAAATGTGTCATTACAAATCAGATTCACCAAATGTCGCTCGTTTTACAGAACGAAATATTACATTGAGAATGCAACTTTGTTTGAAGATTTCCCCATCATTGTCTGCTTCACGAAACAGATTGTGATGACACATCAAGAATGCAAAAATTACCTCAAAATAACTTTTGTTTAGTCAATTCATTAAACGAGACTCGAGAGCAAGTTGCGGAATCCAAGTGTGACACGAAGACATTAACTTTTAAGGCACGCAAATGATGAGTAATTGTGAGGGAGATCCAACTCATGTATGGTATCGTTAAAAATAAGAATAATACAATATACCCTCTCTAAAATCAAGTTAATTAAATCAAAATTATCATTTAGCATATTATATTAAAATTAGTTATATAGCCCATTAGATATATTTATGTATATTTATGTGATAAATGTATATCTATATTTTTAAAAAAAATTCTATATAAGAGCTGAATTTCATGTGATTGATGTTGATACATCATTTAGAGCTTTCTTAGGCTGAGTATGGCTCCATGAGCATGGAATGATTTATTTATTATGCATTGTGCATGATGTATTTAAGGGATTGAGAGAAATTCTGAATTATTAATACATACAACCCTTCATTCTACCAAGATGTCAACTTCATTACAAAAGAACCTAAGCCATGTTTATCTTTTTTTTTATTTTTTTCGTGATTTTCTGCAGTCGATGCCCGAAGACGCGCATCCCCATAATGAATCAAGGTCTCTCCAACCATTCGCCGGTTCAACCGCCCCTGCAGACACCGATGTAACTCAATGGAACGTACTGCAGTTTAACACTGGTTCAACATCACCATTTATCATCAAATGTGGGGCCAACTCCAACTCCGAGCTGGTCATCAAAGCCGATTCTAAGATCCGAGAACCCAAAGGGAACGAGATCATAAGAGTCTTACCCCGCCCTTCCATTCTTTCTAATATGAACTACGAGGAGATCAAACAAACTTTTGATCAGCTGCCGGAGGCAGTGAGCTTTCTGGCCCTCGCAAGGACGGCCGACGGAACTCGAGCTAGGTACTCCAGATTGTTCAGAACTCTAGCCATGAAAGTCCCTTCCCTCAAAGAATTAGCAGAGTCATAAAGCTTGAAAAGGTTAGGCTTAATATTATATTGCAGTACACTATATTTATAGCTTTTATGTTTCTGTTTAAAACTGGATGCTGGACAAGTTTAATTTAATATGTTGTATTGTCAGATTGTAATATTTAATTTCTTTTTGTTGTGCAAAATAAAAAGAAGAAAAAAAAAAGAACTATTTGTGCGTTAGGCCCTATGCAACTTTTTTATATTTTTGTAATATTTTGAGTTTGTCAAAATTGTGGAATTGGATATGAAATTAAGAAAATTGTATGATTGAATATTAGGTAAAAAAAATCAAAATTGCTAATTGACACAAAGAAGTGGTTTTTTCAGAAGAGTAGCATTGTGCTTCTTGAAGAGTTCTATATGTAAATTTGTTTAAGTGGGCTTTTGATGGAAAAAAAAAAAACTGCATAGCAGAATGTTGACTGAGCTGGGAAGGAATTGCACCCAACTTTGTATTTCTATGCATTGTCGGAGCAGCCTGCTTATATTTAGTTGGTCGAGCGGCTGAAGCTAATTGCTGTTTATTGTTTTAAATCTTAAATCAATCAAACTGAGGAGCTAATTCTCTCTTGCTTTTTATTTTTGTTTATACCAGATGAGAATGCTTAGCTGGATAAGTGGCTTTACACTTAAGAGACAATGTAATGTGAAATTATGTGAAATTAATATATCTGTGATAGGGTTGGTGTAGCTCCAGTGGTGGACAAAATTAGAGAGTCGTCTTAGATGGTCTGATCACATTAATTGTCAACCGTCTGATGATCTTGTTAAGAGAGTAGATGCTTTAGATTTGTTTTATGTTAAGAAAGGCTGAGGTAGATATAAAAGAAAGACATGGGCATATTGTATAAAAAATAATCTTAATTTATTAGAATTAAATGAAAACATGACACTCAATAGGATGCAATGGATAAAAAGGATTCATGTAGCCCACTCCATGTAGTGGGATAAAGGCTTGCTGCTGCTGTTGCTGTTGTATTTATTAATAAGAATTCTCTGTTATGATTTATAGATAAGATTTCTCTTAAAATTTAAGTCCCCTGCAACTTGCACTAGCACTTTCTCTCCCTCTCAAAAGCATGAGTTCCATAATGAGCTTGGCCTCAAATAGGCGGGTAAATGAGTTAAGACCATCTCGAGCCACCCTCAACTTGATCACGAGCATAATTTTATAAGTAGGCTCGTGAGGCAGCTTATTTAGTATAAAAGAAAAAAAAATATTAATTTAAGTTATTGTTATAACAATTTAATTTTGAGTCAAGTTAGAATCATCTTGAAATTAACTTGAATGGATTGAGTATAGCTCGAAATCAACTTGTAGTTCGTTATAACTTTGAACTAGTGCAGTTCGAAATTGAAATGAGCTCGAATCAACTTGAAATTGGAACAAATTGGCTCAAATTGGGTTATTTTGATCTGCTCAAACTTGATTTTTTTTTTTTTTTTAATTTAGCATTAAATGTGTGACAACACCGTGACTCTTTAGTTGACGGCGTTTGTAAGACCTTGGGGGACCTAGCTTAGTCACATTGGGTTGGTTGAGGAGTCTGCCCTCTAGCTAATCTTTTAAATAAATAAATAGATAGATAGATACATATACATATATATGAACAAAAATGCTCGAAGCCGATTTTGAGGTAGTTCATCCAAAGTTTCGGCTCATAGCTCGACCCGTTTATTTTGATTTGATCTTGTTTCGAGCCAAAATTCGAATCAATTTTCAAGCGATTAACAATCTTCGAGCTACATTCACAGCTCCAACCATGGGAAGATTATCTTAGCCCGAATTAAAAGAATCGGATGGCTAATTTGATACTTTGAAAATGAATCAAAATAAATAGTCAAAGAACTATTTTGAAACACGACAAGCTCTGCAAATAGCTCGTCAATTCTTTTTTGTAAAATATCAACTATTTTAACATATTTCGTTGATTGTTTATATTACACATAAATATTTAATATGATTTAATGTGCTTTGTTCTACATAAAACTTTCCACATTTCTTGCCCATAAATAATTCGATTTACTTCAAGATATATCAAAATTTATATTGCACTTCTTCAAACCACACAAATTAATTCAATATTTATTCCATTAATAAATTTAATCAAAATGTTCTGCAATCTTATTTCTTTTTCTCATATAGTCATATAAATTGTTATATTTTCTAAAAATGCATGATGTCAATATGTCACAAAGTCATATGGGGATTTACTCAAGTACCAACCAATTCTTCTATATTTCCATATCTACACCCAAACTTTACTTTTTAGTTTTCACAGATGCCACCCAAATATACCACCTTGTCATGCACAACTAAGGTGGTATATATGTAAAAACTAAAGTTTACATCCTAGACATGTAAATACATAAGAATTCAGTGATATGCACCAAATCGTCCAATAAAGAAATAAATCCTTATTTAAATTATAATTTTATCAAACATAACACTTCTCGTAAGTCGTGACACCCCATCAAACACTCATTTCATGAAAACATAAACTTTCATCACAACACTAAACAAAAACCATTAAAAAAAAAACATATAAATCTTTTTATTGCACGACACACAACAACATCGCAAATTATTACATATCAACCCCTGCATATATTAAAAACTCAGCCATCAACCCTTTACTCGGACGGCAGCCCGTCTATCTTCCATATCAAAGTACGGCAGTGATGGCCCAAATGATTAATCCTCTTCAAATTAGTGAACCACCAGATCTTATACATGTCGGGCCAACAATCCTTACCAACATTGAGAACACCGCGGCAGACGGCCTCGCCCGGCAGGGTCCCATTATAGAAGAAAAGCTTGATCCATCCGATGGCCTCGGGCTTGCCCAAATAACCCCAGCACTTGTAGACTGCGCCGTATGGGTTGGCGGGTTCAGGTGGGCCTGGGGGTTTGACGGGCTTTGCGGGCGGTTCGGGAATTTTGGCGATATCGGGCCCGAAAACACTCTTGGGAACTTTGAAGGGTTTGTTCCATGGAATGTTGCTGGCAAGAGTAGTGGCGGAGAGGAGGGAGAGGAGGGTGGTGATGGTGAGGAGGTGATTGGCTGCCATTGCTGATATGTGGGTTGATGGATGGAGAAAATAGGGGGTGGTGGTGGTGTAATTTATAGGGATGAGGAGGGGGTATTTGAAACTGTTATTTATTTATTTGGTAAGAGAAAACGATGTTTTATTAAATACATCAGTTTTTTTTTTTTTATTTATTTAGGATAAACTTAAATTGTATTTAAGTTTATTAATATGGTTGTTATGTAAGTTTTATCTTGTGTATATTGACAACGGGTGGGGATGTAAGAATGTTGACCCGAGCGCTTAATTTATTCATATATGGGTAGAGAAATTAAGCCACGAGAATTTCAAAATATTATTTTTATGATTAAATATTATTTATGATTTATGTATTTTTATTAGGTAATTATTTTTTCTTATAAAAGAATCTTTCGTGAACCGTAATTTCAGATATTGTTGGATCATCATTTGTTAAATTTTAAATTTAAATATTATTAATTTATGCGACATTTCAAAGAGATTTGGTTTCACTAAACGACATTCCAATTTTAACGGCAAAGTCTCATAAATGTAAATATTAAATTTTATGCGTTAGACACATAAATACTTACAAAAAAAACTTACGTGGTATGTTTGTAAAATATATTAATTTTTTCAACAAAAATATATATATATTAATATTAATGTTGTTTCACTAAACGACATTCCAAAGAGGTTTTGTTGTTAGGTGACTTTAATCATATTGCTTATAATATACTTTCTTGAACAGTGAACATGTTTTCTTAATCATGCATTAATTAAGAAATTAATCATGTCTTTGGAATCTAATTACATGCTGGTTCCCATGTGCTTGCCTTGTACTCGATTGCACCATTTAACTTTGACTAAAATTAATCTATTATCACCATTTAAAATTTGATATTTACATATCTAACCAAAAATTATAACTTTAATGAAGTACATACTTCAAAGAAACAATTATAATCCTCAAATAAAATCATATGCACGTAAATAAAAGTAATTTTGATTAATTAGATAAATTTCCATAATTAAATATAATTTATATAAGTTCCTTGCTCTTCATTGTCAGCTAAGCCACATGCATATTTGATAATTTATTAGAGTCCTGTCCCTTTGATTAACTTATAATTAAACTAATTATGTAATAATAATAATAATTAAACCTTAATTATTTGTTTTAAGGGATAGCGACAAAGTTGCAATTGTTGTTTTACATATAATTTATTAAGTACGAGAATCTACCATTATATTTGGTGTCTTCCATTCATTAAAATTCTCATTGTTGTTTGAATTAATTATATTTGCATATTTGTTCTTTTTTTTTGTATGTATGTGATTATATCCAAATATTATAATAAATATAAAGGGGAAATTTTTTAAAGAGTGTACTCATAAATAGAATAAAAAATTAATACTATAGCATTCATGCTTGTCTGAGGACTGTCCTACTTTGTCTGACACGCTATTATGCTACATATTATCAAGTGTGAATCTCGAGTTGAGCATAATATAGTCTAAAGTCAAATTCGAGATCATTTGAGCTCCATTTTTAAGAAATTTATAATCAAATTGAGTGTTTGGACAAGATGACCTAATGACTTCGAATATTTTCCAATCCGTGTTCAGATAAACCAATATCAAACTCTTGAAATAAAAAGTCGAATGAACTTAAATGTTGGCAAACTTGTAGTCAAATAAAGCATCTTGGCGAGAGGGTGTCTATGAGCTCAAGATCATTCAATTATGATATCATTAAGACAGTTAAATATTGAAAAAAATTACATGTGATCAAGTGAATTAATGTGGACCATCATATAAAGAGATAGGCCAAATTTATCAAAATATTCATGTAAAAAATTATAAATAGTTTATCATTTTTCACTTGAAGGAGAGAAGAGAAAAGAAGAGTTAGTTGACTACTAAAGCTTTTCTTTTAAAATTATGATGATCGTCGTCAATCGCCGGAGATCTTGATCGACCACCAGAGTTCATCATCGACCACTAAAGGTCGCCAATTGCTCACCAGAGGCCATCATCTACCGCCTGGCTTCGTCGGTCACCACTAACGATGGTTTAAATCACCCTTCTACAATTA